CCCCGCGAACACTCGACGTACGGGAGACAATCGACTTTACCCCTTTGTTGGCGCTTTCGCCTCCTTTATTTACTCCTTATTAGTTGCTTGTTTATAAACCCATTCAAGTCAGAAGTCTGAAAGGAAGAAGCTGAGAAATACATCTGTCAGGTTATCAATGTGTCGAGAAGCGTTTGATTTAAGCTGACTAGTAGTTGTAAAGGATGCATAGCACGGCTTGCCTACTCATGACTGGTGTGGATGCGTGACTGAAAGCTCTCAGATAGGGTGTGTACAGTAAAATTATTGAGGTCAGCATCAATGTCGAAGATTCACAGAACTATTTGAAGGCTTTTTTACTGCTTCATTCTTTATTATTACACTTCGAGCTCTCATTTTCTGCATTACCAATTAACATGCCTATTTATTTATTGAAACAGCTATCCTTTCTTAGGGCTGAGGTTATCACTTCATTATTTTCGTATTGCAACCAACTAACCTTCAATCTGCAAATTAGATGATCACGGCTTTCAAAAACACTTCTGCCCTGAGACAAACGTATTCAACTGAACTATATAGGCCATCGACAACGTCATTTGATCGCAAACTGTTAGAAACCGCAACGGCACTAGTTGTATTACGGCATATTAGAGAGCCCACCAGGTATAATTCACAAAGCTTCCAAGCTCTCTTAGACTTAGTATTCAAACAAATATGATGTCGATCAAAAAACTTTTCTACATGGACGTAGGGTCACAAACAGGTCACTTGATGCGAATTCCTAGAAACCACAATCGCCCTAGCTTTATTCCAGAACATCAGTAATCCCACTAGGTATTACGTACAAAACCCATCGTCTCTCTTGGACCAAATCTTCAGACACGGTGATGATGTCGGTCAGATAACTTTCTTACCACCTCTAGAGAAAAGTGATCATGCGATCATCTTGTCCAAGTTCACGGCTGAAATAGACTGTCAAACAGTTGCGCCAGCTCGTCCTAGCATATGGAAGGCAGATATGAAGGCGATAAACTCTGTAGCATCGGCTGAAAACTGGGTAATTAACTCAGGAGCATCAGTAGAAGAGGCATGGACTCAATCCCGGCAGCTATGCAATCAAGAAACTCAACATTTGTACCACGGACACTTCCAAAGAAGAAGAGGCACGGCCATCCCTGGTTAGTGTGGGATGTTAGACATTTACCAAAACAAAAGGAGAAATGTTGAAACATCGCCATCAGCTTTGGCACAGCAGGTACTATGGAACGCTACAAGTCGGTAAGAAATAGGTGTATAAATACAGTCCAGGAAGCTCAGAGAGAATATGTAATTCAGTTGACCCAATCTGTAATCAATCAGCCTAAGAGACTATTCTCGTGCATAATTCTAATCTTAACGGCGCGTAAAATCAGAAGACAAAGGATAGCAGCAACTACAGTTTATTGTCGAATAACTCAGGTCAGAAAGTTAGTAACACCTGAGCGAATAATAACGAGCGAGTGAACAGGCGAATAAGCGAACGAGGCGGAAATGACATGCAGTGGAGATGGCTGGTAAGCCAACTCGAGAGCGAGGCGAAAGATGATGCGTATTGGAGATGGCTGGGAAGCCAACTCGATTTAAGCAAGCGTTAATCAACATTTATAGTCGGACAAAAATGTGTGACAGACATATGATGAATAAGATACGAAGTGTACACATATATGGTCATATAAAAGTATAGTCAAGGTTAATAAGCAAATGATTAACAAGATCAAAATATGACTCATAATGGATAGGCGAATTGGCTTGGCCAGCAACTAGAACAAAGTATATGGGCTTAACATATGAACTGATACTACAATGGGGATCCCAACCTAATTAAGGAAGGGAGTGAATCTGAAATGATAGAGAGCAACCAGGAAAAAGCAGAGGCTATGGCAAACTATTTCGGGGCAGTTTTCACTCAACAGCCTATTCTAGACGAAGAACTGGACCCCAATACAAAGCCCACAGACCGTCTGCGCACGGTGAGCTTTGATCGACACGATGTACATAAGTCTCTTAGCACCTTGGACACGGAGAAGTAAACAGAACCGAATGAACTGCACCCTTAATTCCTGAGACAAATTTCACAACATATTGCAGCCACATTGACTGTGACACTCAATATGTCATTTGATCAAGGTGTGTTACCTACGGACTGGAAGCATGCAACTATCACTCCGATACATAAAACAGGATCAAGACAACTTCCATCAAACTACAGACCTATCAGCCTCATCAGTGTCACAGTTAAAATATTGGAGAGGATAGTAGGAAAGACCATAATGACAATTGTGGAAACCAACAACTTGGTGAACAGCGAATAACATGGTTTCAGAAAAGGTTCATCTTGCACAACAAATCTCCTTATAGCAAGAAACATGGACAGAGACTGTAGATAATAGAAAACCAGTGAATGTCGTCTACATAGACTTCAGAAAAGCATTTGATAAGGTGCCAAAACAAAGACTACTTTTGCAGCTGAAATATCTAGTCATTGCTGGCACCCAGCTGAAATGAATTGAGTATTTCCTGGTGGGTCGTATTCGGAAGGTGGGAATAACTTCCAATTGTTTCTCCTGAAAACAGGTACTTAGTGGAATACAGAAAGACTTTGTCCTAGATCCTTAGCTTTTTATACTGTATGCAAATTATCTCCCAAGTATAGTTGAGTCCCCACTAATGATGTAAAAATCTGGCGAGAAATAGCGCGAGACGCGGATGCATGTATACAATACCAATAAATGATTTTGGACCTAATACATCCTTTCTTTTTCTTCTCACTAGATCGGGACATCTTAGGGGATATGACAGAGAGTAGGAAAGCGAAGAACGAACAAAATGCCCGTGGTATACAGGTTCTCGAACCGAGTCATCAATTATTGGAACCTGTTACCCGAAGCAGTGGTGTCCTCACCTTCCATTGCCTCTTTCAAGAGAATACTAGACACTCACAGAAGCCTACTGTAAAAAGAATAACATAAACCTCAGGCCTTTTGCCGTTACAACATAAATCTGAATCTGAAAAATACCCAGATGTCTGACGTCGCCCTATTTGTCTAGGTTGTGGTGATAATTTAGAAGGTGCATACTCTTCGAAAGGATGTTGGTCACTATCCTCATCTACATCCTGATGACTAACATCCGGTTTCCATGCGCTGCGTTTACGTTCATATATGCAAACACATCTCACGTAAAAATAATTTAGAGTCTAGTCATATTCGTTCTTTTTACATACTGATATGACATAATTAGTTTGCGTTTACTGTACAAAGAATTAATGATCACGGAAGTCCTGTTATCTTATGCACCAGTACAGAAGCTTCTCTCAAACAGGTCTCAGAATTATCCCAAGTGGTAAACCGTCGCGATAACATAATACCTTTGAAGATTCATCTTATACTATGAATCATCACGATGGCATCACTTTCATTGCTTGAAGGATGGGGGAGGAATTCAAGTCAAATTTAAAATCGTCTTGATTTGACCGCTTCTGAGTAAGATTTACAAATTGTTGGCTTGCCTCACTATTTAGCGCGCTACTTAAAAGGACGGTGGTATTTTGCTTCGTCGAGTAAGTTCTATTGTTTTGATCGTTTATTTCGTATCAAAACTACTGTTTACACTTTAATTAGATTTATTTCAGTTGAAGTATTCGATTAAAATATTTTCTCTGTCTCTAAAGTAGTTTATCGTCGGTACTTTTGATTTTGTTTTCTATTGTGTCTGCTGGTACTTTTGGTCCTATCACTTTACAGTTTTACACTTTATTTGGTCATAGGTAATTTTTGTCTCTGAGCATTATTATATGTAGTTTTTTCTTTAAAAAGACCTCTGGTGACGGCACAGTGCAATAAAAGCAATTATCAACATACGAGCTGTCGATATCCCGTTGACAGCGGCATGCAGTGCAATTAGTGCAAAGGCTAGTACCACAAAATTTGCACGAATTTAACGCCTGCGGCTCCTAGATGGTTCAGTAAAAACGGTTGCGTATGGCTTCGTCAGTAGTGCTTCAGTCTGGGCACCTGGGCAGTATCACAGCCCTCACACAAATCGAATGAGATTTGTGAGGCGCATATGTATCTGGTGCTTCCTTGTATCAATATTTATGTGTTTAAATAAATAAATAATCGTCAGTAGTGCTGTTCGGATGTAAACAGCTTGCTAACCGAGGCCATCTCAATGGTAAGTGCTGTAAAAAAAAGTTTTGGCAAGCGTGGTCGGGACACGTTGGACAGCAGCAAACTTAAACTGAGCTTTTGGAAAAGGTTCAAAGAATAGCAACGAAGCTGATCCCCAGAATGGCGAAGCTCCTGTATGATGCTAGACTGGTCAAGCTAAACCTATTCCTGTTGTCATATCGAAGAGCTAAAGGCGACTTAATTACAGTTTTCAAATTGCGTAGTGATAAATTCGCACTTGATATGCCCTCATTTTTCTTGTCCTCCAAAACAGAAAATTTACGAGGACACTCCAAAAAAGTTCACAAACCCAGGACAAATTACTTGTCAGCTGACCATCGACTTTCCCATCGAATCATCGAGTGGAATTCATTACCTCAGCACGTGTTTAAGGCTCCATCCGTCGACTCTTTCAAAAGAAAGTTGAATCAACTGAAAGACCATCATTGTCAGAACTAACACAGCTCATCAAACCTCCTGTCCTTTCCAAACTGAAACTGAAAGACGGTTTGACCTTCAAGTGCTCAGCAACCTCCATCAGTGGACGATTCCATCGAATCGTTTCCTAGTTTTCTTGGCCAGTTGACTATCGAATCCCAGTTTTGATCTCAAGATTCCATAAATCTGGGGCTTGTGTTATTACTGACTATTTTATCTTAATTTCCTTAATAGATATTAATGCATGTTGTAGACCTTTTAGGTCGTTGGCTCACCTTATGTTCTCTTTTTCAGCCCTTCTCACTCTACACTTCATGCTCTCCTAGTACATGAAGTACCTTTTGGCTAGACGAGAACCACTACAACCTAAACCCAATGGCTTTATCGTTTGATGACAAACTTCTTGGCGAAAAGGTCCATAATTATTGTAGCAGCAGTGAAGGCGAAGAGGACAGTGGAGAGAGTGGAAGGGTAAGTAACCCTTCTGCTATTGTTCCGGAAAGCTTGAAACCCCCCCGTCTTGGTTCTCCACAGGTTAAAAATATTCTGATATGTAATGTGGTTTTAGACTGGGCCAAAGGGTGTAGTTGCTGATTATAAACGTTTTAAAAAACTGGAGAGTAGACGAAACGCTGAAAAAGAACGAAAAGTTGTCGAATATGCCAAACAGCATTCCCTTAGTTGCCGACCTTATGTATGTGATTAAAACATCGTTTTTTTATTTTTAAGAGTGAAGATGTAAAGGAAGATGAACATACCCATTCGACTTTAAACGCTTCAGATGATAGCGACGATGAATTTTTGACTCAATATCGACAGAACAGAATAAATGAACTAAGAAAAGCCAATGAAAGTCTGTAAGCCTCACTATATAACATACATGTAACTTTCCAGACCAACTTTCAACAAGATCTACGATCTAGTAGCGGATACATTTATTGATGAGATAGATAACACAAACAAGGACACGACTGTTATTGTTTTTATATATGAAAATGTAAGTAACGTTTCGTATACGTTTGAAATCCAAAGGGAAATAAATCTTGTGCAAAAGTCAACACTTGTCTCGAAAAAATATTTCAGAGTTATCCTCACGTGAAGTTTTGTAGAATCCGAGCTTCTGAGGCTCATCTCAGTCACCGATTTGTAAGTTTTGTTTGTAGAGTTCATTTCTTTCATACCTTCTTATTACTGTGCACGTAACATATTTTGTATATTTAGTTTTCTACATATGGTTTTATCTACATACACTTCGTTTTGCAAAATGACTTGTTCGTTTTCTGGTTTCTTTTTCTTGCGGATTACATGGCTATGGTCTTTAACTAAAACGTTTGGTCCTTAGTTTTGAAACACCGAAAGTCTTTTCATCCTTGAAAATGAAAGCCCTCTTATCATGAGACCAAATAGTAAAATAGTCATAGATCCATGAATAGATAATGGGGTAATATTCCAGTTGTACATGACGATGTATAAAGCCATATACAGAGCTTTGTTATCACAAACAGCTGGATGTTTGTAGATTAATGCTTTCGGTGGAGTTTTGTTCTCTCAGTTGGACTTCAAGTAGAAGTTTGTGCTGATGGTTTCGTCCAGAAGAACGATGAAAGCTCCACGACCACACCATTCAACGCAGAGAATGAAACTTCATCTAAGCTACAAATCTCCACCAGACTAATGTTTTCACGACTGTAGTTTCGTTGATTTGCCGAATGAATCGTGGCATCCAACATGTTGCCTCAAGGTCAGACGGATTCTGTGTTACATAGCCATATAGTAAGTTGGAAATGCAAATGTGGGCAGCCTGTTTCTAAGTCTGGGCCGCTTATCCATACATACAGGTGATTTCTGTGGACACACTCGATTTCTCAATGGTTTCTCAAGCATCTTGGTCTCCTCTGTAGAATAGTGTCCTAGTCATGTATTTTATAATTGTGAATTAATCATATTCCTTTGTATGTTATTGCATAAAGCCCTCTTCATATTTGGAAGCTAGGTTTCTGCAGCATGGGAATATATATAATTAACAGAACTTTTTGTCTTTAATTATGACTACTAAACTATGCTGCCAAGTGTATCATACAAATGTGGAGAGTGATCTTAATTTTCTCAAATAATATCCAGTTTGACAAAGAGAATTTCCCTGTTTGTCAAAAGTCCGATACATGTGTTAAAAGGCTAGAAGTTTTTTACTCGATTGATATTGTAAATTATGTTTTAGTCGTTACTGGTTATTCTTCATATGTTGTATTTCTTAGTGTTTGACTTAATGGACCTTTCACTAACCTGTTTAGTCCTTGTAATATGTTCATTCTTTAATAGTCTCGCTGTGGTGTTCCTGCTATTGTGGTCTACAAAAATGGAGAGCTGATAGGGAATCTACTTTCTATTACTAAGGATCTTGATCTGGAATTCTGTCCAAACGATCTGGAAAATTACTTAATTGAGTGAGTCATATAGTAGTCTTGTGTGTATTTTAATTGTACCCAATCAACCAATAAAGGGACAATAAATGCAAACAAAGGGGAAAATACTTTGGCAAATAAAGGGAAAACGCGCTTAAATGTCTACTTTTTCACATGTCAAGGGGAAATGATGTGGATTTTCCCCTTTGTTTCACTGTGTTCTCAATGTCGCTGAACTGTCTACTTTTCGCCTAAATACACTCTGAATGATCTACTTTCGCTTAGATTTTTAACACACCTTTTGCCTAACCCCGAATGTCTCCTATGCTCGCCTTTATTTCCATAACAAACTACACGACAACTGCGTTCGACGTTAAAAATGGCACATGTTTAAAGAAATTTATTGAAAAGAAAACAACGTCATATTGTACAACATTATGAATGGTTGACAGATGCTAGAGCATCGGTCGTTATGTCTCTTAATTGTAGTTGCCAAGTCTTATTGTAATTTGGAAATATCTACAAAAATGAACAGGTTATGGTTTATTAATTAGACACGTGTGTCTAATTACAAGTGCGTTCAAAATCGGACAGGCTTTGTCAACACTCACTCAAAGAGTTTCACATGCAAGTTAAAAAATTAGGGCATGTTTAAAAAAATGTTTATTGAAAAAAAGTTGAACATGAAAAATATTCCATCGGTAATACCTTTTTGAAACACCTGTCGGACTATTGAGAGGCAAAGTAATCTTGTGAATTCTGAAATAAACACAAAAAATTTCAACGATATCTAACTGCTATTCTTTTTTCAAGTAACTGTCTACGTGAAGCTTTACTTACAGTTATGTTCGTTAATACTGAAGTCCTACTCACTGCCTTCTCGCACCACGGATGTTGTTTATCAAATTGAGAGGACGAAAAGCGAATGTCCGGCGCTTTAACCGGGTTGGTGGACAAGGCGAGTCCACCTAGGGGAGTTGGAAAACCCTGATTCCAAACCAATGGTGCACATGGGCTCCAGTATCCTGAAGGAACGAATGGCGTATGAACCAACTGTTGGTCACCGGCTACCATGGGACTGCATCTCCTTACGATGCTCCACTGCCTTGTGGACTAAACCTTTAAGTCAAAGGCTATGGGTGTGGCCCCCTAAGAAAACCACCTGTTTCAGTCTGGGCACCTGGGCAGTATCACAGCCTTCACACAAATCAAACGAGATTTGTGAGGCGCATATTTATCTGGTGCTTCCTTGTACCAATATTTATGTGTTTAAATAAATAATACTGAACATCGCACCTACAGAACAGCGGTGAATAGTTACTTTTAAATTATTTCTTACGTCTTCTCGTTTTCTCTTAGGCTTTTGTATTTTGTCTCTAATATCGTGAAAGTACCCTCGCCTAGCGATGTCATACAGTATTGCAAGTGTTATGACTTGACCTAGCCGTCGCCAATTTGTTATGTTTCTGAACCTAGGCTGTAGCCAATTGTTATGACTTGATCAAGGTCGTCGCTGATTTGTTATGACCTTACGAATTTAACAAGGACGTAATTCGCGTAAATTATCCACCAATAGAATACGACTTCTACGACCTTCACACTGTGACAATGACGTTCGATTAGTATGTGTAATCTAGCGTCCTTATTGGCCCTTATCCACCTAACCCGTCCACTTGAGTCCAAAACACCAATAGCAGCCTCGGCAATACGAATCGTTTATTTCAAGCATACTTTGTTTATATATCAGACAGACAGGCCACATCATACCATAAAATAGAAAATAATATTTGTGCAAAACCAAGCCAAATGAGGCTGTAAGCGTGGGAGACAATAATCAATAAACTGAGTATAACTTAGGAACAGTAAATCATACAATAATAATCAATAGGTCAAAATGAAGCTTACAATAAGATGAATATAGATATAGATAATCTAGTTACTGAATAGTTATACAATAAGAATGATAGTCCAATAGTAGGTCCTGCAAGTTACCCGTACTTATGTCTTCGCTACTACATAACAGGAAGGTCTTTTTCGTTGACAGATGAGGACAGGGACCGATTTGTTAATGCGCCTGAAGATTGAAATATCTCTTACTTCGTATGCAGCCGTAAAACCTGCACTTCTGAAGTGCCAAGTATTGTGAAACGGCTGGCAACCCAGGTGTCATGACGTATGATAAAATATAGAGCATAGACGTTTTAGAGGTATCATCCATTAACCGCGTCAGCGTGGCCATCTACAATACGAACAAATTATCCTATTAACTTTGTTGACTTACAAATTTGTCCCTTATGTCTTCTTGCTGAAGACATGCGTCCAACATTCCCATTTCCTCTTCAGATGACAAAGGGAACTGTTGATTCGATATTCCACAATCGGATGGCTGCGGATGTTCACGCCCACCAGACTTCGGCAGTAGCTGCCCAATATTGGCACTCAAGTCCGAAGCAGCCGACGACATGTTCTTCAGTACAGCATACAGTCTATCAAATCTTAAAAACTTAACTCAGTCGGACGCGTGACCTACTCAACCGTTAACTCACTACCTACACGCCTAGATTCGGACGTTGAGGGCGACGTATCTAATTATGTCGAACTAGTTAATTAACATCTTAAAAGTAAACACGCCTACTTGACAATTGGTGAGACAACGGTGTCCAGCAACCGAATTTTAGGATATTGAACGTGGGTGTTTCCAGCCTGCATCTCTGCCACATCCATGTCAACAGAATTGTGAAGAAACCCTTCTTTCCGTTTCAATGCACCTCTACAAAATGTTAGTAAGATTACTGTACTGACCTCTTCGGCTCCTCATTGGCAGGGTACTTTTGTCCTTAGAACTGTTGATACGGTAAACATCTGAAGACTATCTATAGGAAATAATCGTCTCTGTGTTCTTAACTTACCTCATTCGTGAATGACCTTACACTTCAGGACTGATCAATTGTCATCTGGTCGGTCACTGTTTTGCAGGTGCATATCAACAAGGTGCGTTTCATAGAGACAAAGTTCTTTCCCCACAATTCACTGTGTAGCTGCAATCATAAGCTACCTCTTGCTTGGCGCGTCTACAGTAACGTATTGTTTGTTGGCCGGCTAAATAGGATATAAGAGGTAAGGAAATGGTTTATGATAATACCATCAGCAAGAGTGAAACAATACATTCACGTAAAGGCATGTAGCAATGGAACAATCATTGATTAATCAACACAAGGGCAATACATTTACAATCAATATCCTTAATAGGAACCCGTGTGCGCTCATGACTGACTACCGAGCACATAAATATTCCTGTCACTAGAATGGAATGGTTCTTCGAAGTAATTGCATGGGTCTGTGAATGACTTAAGTTTCATTAATCCATTCTCCTATGCATAAGTTTTCCGTGTACTAGTACCACATCCGGCTTAAATAAAGTTATTTTGGTATTCTTAAGCATAATTACTTGTTTCCGTGAATCTACCTTATCGGTTATTTGTGTACTACCTGTTCAAATACTAGCTTGAAGCCTATCACAGAAAAATATTTTCTCCACATAACGCTGAAACGCTTTTTTGGCTACAGCACACCCGCTATGCACTGATTTATTAAGTTAACGTATATTAGATTCGAATGGGAGTTCTGAAAAACAATCTAAAGGTTCATGTGCACGAACATCGTTGGGAAAGTGCTGCAACAAAAAATGCACAATGTAAACTAAGTTTTCAGGCCCATAACACTATATTTCTTAAGAAAGTTTGATAAATCCATGTAATCTTAGGTGTTTTAACATCAATAAAGCTAAACGCCTGAAATTAAGGCACAAGGTTTGCGGTCAACTTTGTTGAAGAATTACGGGGCCTAAATATAGAAGAGACGGTCAACACTCCGTAGCATTCCATACTGAGATGAAGTCTAATGTGCGGCATTTACGCTGAAAGTAGGAGGGAGTTTTTGCCACGCAACTAGATATTAACTTATCTAATCCCTAATTACATATGTGTTCATGTTTCTTAGTCGTTGGTATGAAAATTCTATCAATAGATTGGCTGTTTTCTTCGTCACACCTAAGTATTAGTGATAATGAACATACAAACATAAAGCACGCCACTCATGTGCATCTCGTAAGTTATTTGTGATGACCACCAAATATGTCGGAACACTTTAGTTAAACAAACAGCAAAGTTCGGATATATACATCTAAGGAAAAGCCGTGTGTCTGCATTTTCTCACATGCGTTAATGATAGTTGTCCTCGTTTGTTATTAAACAATACATTATTTTGTAGAGATTTATGAAAATCAGAGGGGGTTTTGTGGAGAATTTAGTATTTTCACAGTTGAAATCATGAGTCAATTGAAGCTAGACCACCATCGAAAACCTGGAAGCACTGGACGGCCGTTTCGTCCTATTATGGGACTCCTCAGCAGTGCGCATCCACGAACCCGCTCGCGAGAGCTGGCATCCAACTCAGTGGTCTATCGGTTAAGGGCTTCGGCTCGAGACTGGTAGGTCCTGGGTTCGAATCTCGCTCGCGAGAGCGGGTTCGTGGATGCGCACTGCTGAGGAGTCCCATAATAGGACGAAACGGCCGTCCAGTGCTTCCAGGTTTTCGATGGTGGTCTAGCTTCAATTGACTCATGATTTCAACTGTGAAAATTTATGAAAATGTTAGTACAGAAAGAGGCATATTCAAACACGGTATATTACGTATATTTGTCTACAAATTTTCCCCAAATATACAATGTAAGGGGGCGAGATCGACATTTCCCCTTTATTCGTGCTTTCGTCCGCTTTATTTCCCCTTTATTGGTTGCTTAGGTAATTAATAGTGACACGTCGAGTTTAAAGAAAACCTTTTTTTCGTTGTCCAAGTTGTTGCGTACAGGCGTTGACTTTCTGCAACTACTAAAATTATCAAAACTGTAACGTGTGCGTTTTCACATTGCGTATGTTGAGGATCTATAGACCATAGCTATCTGTCAATATGCAGAGCTCGATTTTAATGAATACAACATACCTGTATTGGAGATTTCGCATTATATATATTTTTAAGAATTTATCATTTTATAGTTTTCGAGAGATGATATGCCAACCGTCTGTATAATTTCAAATAAATGTTAAAGTATCATGTTTTGTATTTTAAGTTGTCAGTTTAACCGTATCGACCTACTTTTTTGTTAATATTACCAAAAAAAACCGTTTGAAGGATTTGCTAGGGTAAGTTATTAAAATTCATGTTTACTTTTAATCACTCGGAAAATATGAAGACGAATAAAGTACAGTAAGGATTCATGGATATAGGAATATCTTTTCAAACAACGTTCATCGCACTATAATTTCAGTACTTTAACATTCATATGTATCTTAACTCTTCAATCCAAAACCTTTGTAGGTATGGATTTCTACCTGATAAAACAGTCGTTCAGTTTACTGCAGCAATGGATTCGTGTTCTCGTCTTTGTAAAAAAAATTAAACCCTTCATTTTATGTGCATTGAATATAAATTCAAAATTATTTGGACTCAGTTATATACATCTTTCCTTATAAGTAAATAACTTCTTTTTTTGTGACCTCCTTACGCAATTAATGTTTTTATGTTATTTAAAAAAAATTAAACCTTGTGATGATTGTTTTATCTTAAAATCGGTAGTTTTCCTAAGAATTGTTTCTTTTTACCATCTTAGAATATGTTGCTTATGAGAGTAGAAATATCAAGATATGAGGGTTTTCATCTTATCTTTGATTAATTTCACTGAATTAACAGTATTAATTTCAGTTCTGTTTCGCTAGCACAATATACACTAGTATTGATCATCTTGAATTTGCAGTTGAATTCATAAATATGAACTTGAGACATTCGACAAACTGTAACAAGTTCATTTCGAACAACCGATTTTGATGTGCAACTGTATCTAGTTTGAGTTAGTACTGTTTTTAAAGACCCATAAAAAGAACACAATGAAACTCCGACAATTTATAAAAACAACGATATTGCAACAGATGCATAGAAATTCACGGAAATCATCAATCTTAGTATATCAAACGAATGTCATGGTGTTAGTTTTTACATCATACTGCATTTTCATTACATTAATCATAAATGCCTACTTCATGTCAACCACCTAAAATGTCAATTAGATCACTTACCAGTAATGACCTATTAGTCTAAATTCGTTTACCAAATAGGCAACAGCTCTAATTTATCTCATTAAAATTGATTTGCGCAACCCATTTAACGTGTACAGATTTATACGTGGGGTTCGGAGCCACACTTTAGGGATAATGGCTAGTGATGCAACCTGCTTCTCTAGACAGAAGTGAAACGATGTTTGAACATATGATCCGGTGGTTGAAGGCCAGTTACTGTAATCACTAAGTCTTTACTACTTAAATTTTAAGATGGTCAGAAGTTGTGTACTACACTAGCCAGTTATCAAACTACTTAAACCGAGGCAACCTTGACAATTTACAATGCCGTACTACAGGAATCCAATGTTTCACAGAAACACAAAAAACAACATGCTAATTGACACTTGCATAATTATTTTGTATATCCCAATGACTACAATTATTGAGAAATGGTGTTCCTGGGAGATATGATCTTGTAAAAAATTGCATAAGTTACTGTTATGCTTGACACTAAATCGATTCCGCGGTAACGAACGAAAGCCAATGACACGATAAGCTATTCTAATCGGTTGTCCCAGGCCCCGCTAATTAGATGAAGTCCAAGGCAAGTAGGGGAATATATATGTATTCCGTAAGCAGCCGAGTACAAGCAATCGAATGAGGGAAAAAGTCAAGCGCATTTATACAGCAACAAATTGGCCTTGAGCATTATTAGTAAATAGCACACACAAAGAAAACAATGGACCAATAGCGTTTAAGATAGTTTACAAGTGGGAAATATGACGTGAAGGTAAAAGAGCGCTTTTGGCGCGAAAACAGCCAAATTCAAATTTTCAAAATAAAATTACAAACTAAGTCATTTACCAAGTAAGTTCTGGGGATTTGACATCCCCAACAGTTACTCAATTAATAGCTCTTTGATCTGAAGACTTTTTTGTTGTCGTGATACACCAAACTCCAGACATATAGTTATTGATATAAACTGTAGTTTGTACAGGTTGAGCTAAATAACAGAGGGGGAGGTATTAGTTATTATTATTAGTGGCTTCATTCAATATTATTTTTGGTATAGTCAAGAATTTTCAGCACAAAGTATTCCAACAAGATCTTTTTACAAAACAACGAAAACCGATGACTGAATACACATACATAAACTAGGTAAACAAGCTAATTCGAATTACTGATGACTCCTACCACAACGTATTACTTCAACGCATAATCACATATTATTTCTCATTATCTAACAGACTCAGTAATAAAATTTCGGACGTTATAATAGCTATGCGTAAACTTTGTGATGTAATATTAGCATGTGTTCGTACAACATAGCACCATGAAATGAAAGTTCTATACACAATCACAGTTGGATTGCTATCTATACATTAATTGTCCTCTAAGTAACAAATTTTTCTGTTTCTCAATACTGATGTCTCCGGTTTTCATTAAGATCTGAATGTTATCTTTAATGAAGCTTTACATAAAAAGTACACTGTAGTGTTAACAAAATGGACCCGTACAACCGTGTTGTATTCTTAACTAGCCCAGTTGGATGAATTGATAGCATTTCATTAACGAGATGACTAGAGCAGTAAAGTATGTACTATCAGATCACGACACACTACAAGCAGGAAGTTGTAATTCACACACAATCAAGCCATTAATAGCTGGGGATGGAACACAAGGTGGGTTAGCGATAATTAAGGGATATTAAGACGTATAACAATAATTAATGAGTTTGGTTAAAGCTTACAACGAGAAATGTAGAAAAACAATAATTCGAATATTTAATAATTATGCAATAAAAGTATGCGAAGCAATAATAGTTCATAAAATATTTCTCAGTTACAACTTCCTAATATTCTCTCCGTTATGTTAGTAAACATCCTACGGTTTATGATAATGCTCTGTGAATTAAACCCATTAAAGATAGTAAGACATGTCATGCCTATCTAAGCTTATAATCTTGTCTATAAGTTGAGGAAATACCCACCTGTAGCTCTTCTAGAGTTACTGCCGGTTCCAAGCCCGGGCAAAGGAGGAGGGTTGGGCATGGGGCTAGCGACCCCATCCCATAGGAAACTAACTCGCTAACCAGAAAAAATAATTCAAACCATTTGAACTCTGCCCTGGGAATTGAAGGAAGAATTATGACGCTTCATGATGAAAGTCGAGATTTTTCGGAAATCACGAGGCCGATGCCCCTTCTAACAACCAGGGCAACACTCGTTATAAGTACATGAAACGTTCAAACAATGTGGGAGACCGAGAAGACCAGTCAAATAGCAACGGAAATGAGGAGATACAAATTGGCAGTACTTGGAATCAGCGAAACCGATTGTACACAAGCTGGACAACAAAGGCTAGGTACGGTAGAGATGCTGCTGTACTCTGTTCACGAAGAGGAAAATGCTTCACACTCAGGGAGTTGCTTTGATGCTGTCCAGAGAAGCACGAAATGCACTTGTAGGATGGGAATTTCACGGATCTAGAATTATCAAAGCATCATTCAGAACAAAGAAGGAGGAAATCACAATGAATGTTATCCAATGCTATGCACCCATCAATGATAGAAACAACGACATTAAAGTTCAGGTCTACTCGAGGCTGCAATCAATCGCAGCTAAGTGTTCAAGGAAGGACCTCACAATGCTGATGGGAGATCTAAACGCTAAAGTTGGAGTGGACAACACAGGATATGAAGATATAATGGAACGACATGGACTAGGAGAGAGAAATGAAAATGGGGAGAGATTTGCAAATCTATGTGCATTCAAAAAATCGGTTATAAGTGGCACAATATTTCCACACAAAGCTACATGGATCTCGCCGGACCACACTACAGAGAACCAGAAAGATCATATTTGTATCAACAATAAATTCCGAAGTACAATGAAAGATGTGAGAACCAGGAGAATAGCTGACATGGCTTCAGATCACCACCTAGTGGTTGCCAAGATAAAAATGAAGCTAGAGAAGCACTGGATAACTAGACAAACAGCGTTACAAAGGTTTGATACAGCCTTCCTTCGAGATACTAACGAATTCAAGATAACTCTCAATAAAAGGTTCCAACCTCTACAGGATCTACTGAAAGAACAAGAAACTACGATAGAGGATGACTGGAAAGGGACCAAATAAGCATTAAATTCAACATATCAGGAGGTTCTGGGTCGCAAGAAGCATCATCATAAGGAATGGATCTCTATGGGAACGCTGGACAAGATTGAAGAAAGGAAGAACAAGAAACCAGCAATTAACAATAGTCGAACACGAACAGAGAAAGTCAAGGCACAAGCAGACTACGCAGTAGAAAAGAAGGAAGTGAAGAAGAGCAAAGACGGCGGAAAAAGTTGCAGGAGAAAGGAATATGAAACAACTATATAATAGAATGAAGAAACTAGCAGGGAGATACACTAAGCCGGAGAGACCAGTCAAGTACGAAGAAGGGAAGACCATCACAGATATTCAAGAACAGAAGAAAAGATGGGCAGAATACTTTGAGGAACCGCTGAATAGGCCCGCTTCATTGAATCCACCGGACATCGAAACAGCACACACAGACCTTCCTATATCTGTCACTTCACTAACGATCGAAGTCAAGATGGCCATCAGACAAATCAAGAGCAGGACCTGAGAGTATAACAGCTGAAGTCAGACACTGAAGTAACTGCAAACTTGCTTCACCTTCTATTCAAGAAGACCTGGGAAGAGGAACAAGTGCCAACGAACTGGAAAGAAGGATACCTCATAAAAATACCAAAAAAGTAGATCTGAGCAAATGTAAGAATTACAAAGGCATCACACTGTTGTCAGTACCACGGAAAGTTTTCAACAGAGTACTGCTCAACCGGATGAAAGACACAGTAGACGCCCAACTTCGAGGTCAACAGGCTGGATTGCGTAAGGATCGGTCGTGCACAGACCAAATTGCGACACTACGGGTTATTGTTGAACAATCAGTTGAGTGGAACTTGTCACTATACATCAACTTCGTTGATTATGAGAAGGCGTTTGACAGTGTGGACCAGAGAACATTATGGAAACTTCCTCGACATTATGGAGTTCCTCAGAAGGTTTTCAACATTATCCGGAACTCATACGACGGGCTACAGTGCAAAGTCGTGCATGGAGGACAGCTTACAGATGCATTTTCAGTAGGGACCAGAGTCAGACAAGGCTGTCTACTCTCCCCATTCCTCTTCCTTCTGGTGATTGACTGAATTATGAAGACTTCGACATCTGCGGGGAACCACGGAATACAACGGACATCTCAGAATCAATTAGACGATTTGGACTTCGCAAATGACCCAGTCTTCCTATCTCATACACACGAACAAATACAGACAAAGACAGCAAATGTAGCAGCAGCCTCTGCATCAATAGGTCTCAACATACACAAAGGAAAAAGCAAGATTCTCTAATACAACACGGAGAACACTAACCCAGTCACACTTGATGGAGAAACTCTGGAAGAGGTGGAAACATTCACGTACCTGGGGAGCATCATTGATAAACAAGGAGGATCAGATGCAGATGTAAAGGCGAGGATTGGCAAAGCAAGGGCAGCATTTCTACAACTGAAGAACATATAGAACTCAAAACAATTATCAACTAACTTCAAAGTCATAATTTTCAATACGAAGGTCAAGACAGTCCTACTGTATGGAGCTGAAACATGGAGAACTACTACAACCATCGTCAAGAAGGTACAAGTATTTATAAACAGTTGTTTACGCAAAATACTCAACATTCACTGGCCGGATACCATCAGCAACAGAGTTTTATGGAAGAGGACAACCAAGTTTCCAGCTGAAGGTGAAATTAGGAAAAGATGTTGGAAGTGGATAGGACGTACATTGAGGAAATCACCAATGTGCATCACGAGGCAATCTCTAAATTGGAATCCGGAAGGGGAGCGGAAAAGAGGAAGGCCAAAGAACACTTTACGCCGGGAAATAGAAGCAGATATGAAAAGGATGAATGTTAACTGGAAAGAACTAGAAAGGATTGCTTGGGACAGAGTTGGATGGAGAATACTAGTGTGCGGTCTATGCTCCTCCACATGGGACAACAGGCGTAAGTCAGTAATAAGTTGAGGAAAAACGTAGTCCAGTGTTGCATATTTGTTTACAAGAAAATCTGCTAGTGATTATTATTAATGGTTTTATTCAATATTATATTTTGGTACAATATAGAATTCTCAGCACAATTTATTTCAATAAGTTTCTTTTACATAAACAAAAAAGAAAAGATCTGAATTTGTAAAACGTTTTAAATTAGAAACATGTTTAAGAATACAGGTTATTGACTTGGTTAACTTTAACAACTTGTTCGTCGCAGAGTACATTAGCTAGGTAAGGTATCATAGAACTTTTATACCTTTGCTTGCGTGCATGGATTTTAATGTATTTACATCTCGTTCTACCTGAAGATATACAAGGAGAAAAATATGAATGAAGTGGATGATTAGTATCTAATAAGATAACACCTATCAGGAGTTTGCAAGACTTTAGATGTCTATCCACAACCATATTAATAATGACCTCAAAAGATTCACCATATCACCTTCCTAACTGCTTTCAGCACTCCGCAATTCAGCAAAGTCTTTTCTCAAAAGCTCGGAAAAGAATAATGGAGAATATTAAAGAGTAATATGTAGGAATCAACAAAAGCATGCTGCCTCTTCATATAGTAAATCAAATAGAAAACTTTCTTTGGTAACAGTAAAACACGAGAAGACTAAGAGAGATTAGAGGAAAGGGTAATACCAAAATAGTTGACCTTCGACACTGTTTACCAAAAAGTCTCCAATGGCACAAGCATTATAGGATCCCAAAAAGGTGTTTAGGTGCTGTTAATGTCTCTAAAGTTATGAGCTTGACATTTAGACGGGTTAAGAATGAGGCCATTAATAACAGACCACCGTTCAATACGAGACAAAAACTTAATCATTTCTATGGGATGTAAAGAGGTAGAAATCAGCACACAGACAGTGAGATCTTCCGCATATTTCACAAGTTTTTTCTGCGGAAGATCGCAGAATATAAGTGAAAGGACAGTTCTTTGTGGCAAACGTTCATTAGACAGTAGAGACATTAAACACTTTCCTCTAGACAGTGTACTATTCTCTTCCAGAGAGGTAGGAAAATAGCCAGTTATTCGTCCAGCTGTCTGTGTCGACGCTGATTAACTTGTTAAGTAAAAGTTGTCTTGGGATAGGATCAAAAGCAGAAGTACATTACAGGAAAGTGCATCGATCATACTTATTACCCCTTTCTAAGCTGAACACTATATTGTGATGCAGAACAGCAACGGCATCTAAGGTGCTTCTTTTGCATTTGTAAGCAAACTGATACGGATCAATGCGCCCTTTTATTGCAGGTTAAAGTGGGAGTATCAATAATATTTTCATTGTTTTGAGTAAAGGTGAAGTTATTGCTATGGGTCTAAATTTCTCATTCATACCACCAGATACTTTCTTATGTACACGGATTATCTTTATCTTTCTCCAAATTTTCGGTATAAGATTAGTTGAGAAGGATTTGTTAAAGATACCCGTGAATGAATACTATGGAACGTCAGAACATTTTTCAAAAAGGAGATTTGTGGATACCATCATGTGCACATAACGTTTTATAAAGGTTTCAAATTCGACAATTAACCACCGTTTTGATCTACCTTGAATATTATTCTTGAAGTATAAGTAGTGATAAGAAGTAATTCGGTTTATGTACAATAATAAGTAATTAAGTAGTATTTTGTTGATGTCTTCCGTAATTGTGGAACTGTGAAAAAGCCTTAATTACAACCATCGATAGAGCTTAAAGTCATTTGGGGCTACATGGATACTTTTCCACATCAAGTACAAAAACCTAAAATCACATAGAAACCCCCCTAAATGTCCAGAGTGGGAAAACTATGACCCATGGGACTGAAATCTCAAATATAAACCAATTTATCACGACCAAAAGTGAAAAACTATGGTACTCGACACGAGACCTGGAGGTTTTCGGTGCGATTTTTTGAAGAGTCTCACTCTGGGACGAAACAGCTCCCTAGCGAACTCAGTTGTTAGTGATTTTCCAGATGATATTGATGCATGGCGAAAACCATCTCCAGATTCATCGAGGGAAACATATATTGCTATTTACTAGTGGGGTTCGGGCGCCGCATTGTGTGTGCGGGCGAACGACGAAAACAGGGTAGAAGATCATTCCAAAAGAACAAAACCATCTTTTGTTGTTATGTATGTATTTGTATATCTTGTTTCTTTCTTCTTCTAGTGGACAAAGAAAAAACGCTGAGTGATTAAAGAATGCTGATTAATAAAAAAAGCAGTCAATATATTTTGAATTCGATAAATCAACAATAAATAGTAAGACAAAGAAAGTGACCCAAGAAAAAAAGTACAAAACAAGTTCATGGAACTATTACTAAATAAATCGATAAGTGGAAACTGTACACAAATTGGAGTTTAATTTACGGTGGGTGATTGAGAAATAACTGTATTTACATCTCAAAAATGATTTCCTATCATGGATCTGTCCATGTGTGATAAACAGACAAGTGCACTGACATGTACATTGTTATGAGATAATGATCGGTAGAAAAATAACAGGGAGACTTTTATTTCTGACTAAAATTATGAATACAATTAGTTTCTCTGCATTAAAAATTAAACGGCATCCACCCTCACATGGAAAACCCTTTTTTGATAGAAAAAAAATAGTCAGTGAAATCGTTGTCAAAGCGAGAAATACCTGTATAATTTGTAGTATTCTATAAATATATGGTAAATCATATTTTCGGTATAGTTGATCAGTATTAAGCATTATGCATTGATCTTAGTTTCATTAATTCATTTGTCAAGGCCTCAATCTACAATAATAATTATAAAATCTATTAAGATAAGTAATTTATGAAGATGTGTTTGTTAGTTGGGTTTCATCATGGATTGGCACCAACTAGATAAACAATGAAAGCTAGGGGTGATTGCATAACTGTTTCTTCCAAGTAATACGAACTCACATCCCAAGTCAACATCCAGTGTTCTACATTCTGAATTTTCGTTAATCTTCGATACAGCGTGACAATAATTCAAAGCCGTCCATTCATGGAGGTTGTTAGACTTCAAGGGAGTTCATATCATTAACTGACTTCAATTGGAGGTATATACACCAGCTTTTTGGCACACAGACACTATTAGTTTGAGCATTTTATTAACATCCTTACTAGGTGGGTACGGAATGTGTATCTACTTAAATGGTATGTAAAATTGTCAAACGCACTGAATGTATACTACTGAAAAGAATAATCAAAATTCAGCTATTGGGTTAAAAGTTTGTAATTTGACTCTGCTTAATTCAGTTTGGATCGAAAATTTATGGGTTAAAACCAAATGGGTCAATCTGCACTTGGTTACTAACAAATGGCTCACTTTTGCATTTTCATGAATAGTCTCATAGGGCAGGGGTTCTGGAATTACAACTGAATTAAGTTGCAGGTCGAAATTGATTTCGATTTAAGCATCTGAATGATAACTGTGACCCCTTAATTATGAACTGTGGCGGCTTAGAGTTTCATATATTACTCGGTGATCAGATATTAATTCGTAAGCTACTCAGAAATCTAGTTCTGCTTTCGAATTACCATAACATATTTGGGGGGCTGGCAGTAAAACTCATGAAATCAGGACCATTGTGCAATATCTGTCCTGATTAAAGATATTGGCATAAATGTCTCTTGATGTTTCATATACTGTTTAAAAAATGACAAAACTCATGTACGATGAATGACTAACATATTTGCCAAGTGGTGAAGCAAATTCGACCAATACACATTTGTCCCCCAAATGAAGGGTAAGTTGCTCTGAATAAGAAATTCGATGTGCGTATGTTAGTTCACTTGTATTTAAGGTATATTGCACATCGCGTCCTTTCCTTTACAACATCTGAAGATATCTGTCATCATGGTTTATCAAAGGACAAAGAAAGTGAGTTTCGACTAGTTTACACTTCTTTTCATCTCAATGATTTTCTCACATATCAATGTGAGACTTCAAATCGTCTTATTGACGGACAAGATTCTACGTTGCTGTTTTTATTATCATATTCGTCGATCAAACTTTCTTTTCAGTCAATGATCTCAGCTCCATAGTGAACACTCCCATCAAAAGATCTACTTAGTTAAGTTTTATTTTTACAAGATACAAGTTTCAGTCAAGTAAGTATATGCATTAATACAACGTATTAATAGTCATTGAGCATCATACAAATATAAGCATGGAACTGGATCTAAAAAAATAATTCATAAACTTAGAGTTAACTTTACCTTATCTTTCAATATTTTATTCTCAAATGCATATCGATTGATTAGGATATTATGAAAATCACTGGGAGTGTTTACTGGAGAGTAAGAGGATAATAACTTTTTGTCAATACTCATTGTACGGTTACGATAATGATTCACACATTCCATATTATTAACTTGTTCCATATTCACTGTGCATTTGTCAAATGCAATTTGAAATACACCATATTCTGTTAGTTCAATAATCAATCCTTGTTGCAGAAACAACTATTTGAATATAATGTAAAACATCAATAGGAATTACTGATATTGAGATGAATTATTCTTATTTATCGGCCAAAATGTTAAAGACTTTCAATCAGTAGGCTTTTTCCATACAATTCTAACAGAGTTCATGGATTTAATAGGAAATTTTCATTGAAAGTAAAGCGATGTGGGTTGAAAAGCTACCAAGTTTCAGCCACTGAGAGGTAATATGCCTTTTTTGAGATTTGAATGATAACAAGGTTTGAACCTAAAAGTGACTACGGACGTGTGCGTATGTGTGTAGAGTGTTGAAAATCCTCAGATTAGGGCAAAAAATAACTGTAAGGTATTCTATGACTTTCAGTTAATATCAGTTAGTAAAACGATTTGTCACTAATAACAATTATCATTGTAATTGCCGAATTGAAATACTATATGTTTGGTTATGTGATACGAACAAGTTGTCCATAGATAAGAAAGGAAAATTTTTCCATTTTATTGACTTATATTGTAGAGAAAAGAACACGACTGGGGACAATCGAATGTATTTTAGCAAAAATTACAGACTATCTCAGTAAATTCTGAAAACCATACAATGGACAGTTAATTTGCAAATTAACAACCAACAGTATCAATCTTCACTGTTTCTTCTCTAATTCCATTGTTCGTGCATTTTCCTACCGATTGCGCTTCATTTCAGTTCTTTCCTCATCGGACTTCTGCCAAAATACATTCTATGTCTGACCAACACCATATACTACTTATATGGATATAAATAGATCACACCAAAATATTGTTTTTTTTATAACTATTGCTTGGGTAACTGAATCTCCTCTGTTTATTAATTGTAACTTAATTCTTCTTTTTCGCAAAATCATATAAAGGATATATACGCGTCGACATGTGCGAGAAGATAGCAGTCAGCTATTAACAATTCATAACCGTTTAATCAACTGTGAAAAATCATTTCACCAATGTTATACGAATGAAAATGTCACAAATTATAAAAACAACTGACCCATCGAATCAATCATATAGATACAATTAATAATTCTCTGTTAATCTACTGGCAAAAAGGTTAAGTAAAAAATCCTTTGCACAGAATATTGTAACATATTCCTCTTTATTAAAGTTGGATAGTGGTTAGCATTGGAATTTGAGACGTGCGTTTCGTCATATTTAGAACTCGTCAGTTGGATGCACCTGGTTCCTAGTCTCTATGTTATCATAACGGATACAAGCACATCCAGCTAACGAGTTCCAAATTGGACGAGTCATGGACTTTATGCCAATCATCGGAGTAATCCGCTCAAGATATCATAACAGACTGGTTAATTCCAGTCCTTAACATCAATAATTGGAAGATAAAAGCCCTTTCAAATAATGAATAAAAATATTTCTCTTTATTACATACACTTTAGTTGTGATGATGTAGAACAATGTAATAAAGAAATTACTACAACAGGAATTATCTGCCATGTATAAACATTTAACTCGGAGATTTTCTGATTCGTCTCCCTACTCTTAAAACCTTTTTCCATGTTAAATAAACTATTTGTATGGGCATTTCTATTATATTTTACGATCATAAATTCCAATACGGCTGTATCTTGTTCCTCTAAAGATAGGTAAGCAAGGAAATATACTAATCATTGAAGTGTTGCCACTTATGATATTCAATACCGTAAGTGTTTTTAAGCTTTTTATAAAAGTGGTCAATAATGACTGGAAAATTTGTAAATGATACATTTAAAAAAAATAATATTTACACACCTGTCTGAAGAGTTTTAATTGTTCTGGATTTTCATTGACACATGATCCCAGTTCCAGTGATAAATTTCCTTGTTTTAACAATAAACGAATTGCACATCTTGGAGGTGAACTAATTGAATTATTATTATTATTATTATTATTATTATTATTATTATTATTATTATTATCCACGCTAACTCCATGTATGTTACTAAGCAGAGAAGAATTGAATAGATTTATGTCTTCATGGCTGCCAATCTGATGCCATACGTGAATAAATAATTCTTGAATATTTGATGGAATAATGAGTCTCCAGTCTTTTAATAAAGTAGCATTTGCATATAACCATGGATAAATATAGCTAGTTGGAGGCTTTAGTTTTGTTACTTCAAGTGTTGGATCACCACCAAAACTTAGGAAAATCGACCATAAATAATCAGACTGTACGAATTCATTATGTTGTTTTGAGTGAGGTTCAGCACGAGATGAAGCAGTGGAACAATGAAATGATTCTTCGGGTTTCATAAATAATTGGAGTGACTTAAATACAATCCAAAGACGTGTTTCTAAATTCATAGCATCTAAATAACATTAAAAAAAGTATCTTATTTACCAAGTGTACATTTGTGTTCATAACTTTAAGCCATATGATATTTGTGAGGGTTAGTGATACAAACTGATTATAATAACTTAACGTCGATTAGACAGGATTCGAATTGTGTACCTCAACTACTGAGTCACTGATTCTTCTTTTCTATGGTATAGCTTACATATTTATAAAATGATCACTTGGAAGTAACTAAGGTTACAACAGATTAAGGATTTCTAAGTTTATAACCATTGGTATTATGTACAAAACCAAATTAAATTATCTCAATTTATATTTACTCACACACACACACATTTTAATCAAAGTCGTTGATGAACACTGAAAAGTAACCATATTGTTGTGGAAAAATTTATCTGTGACTTGTAAAATAATGACTATATAAAAAGAGAGAGCTCGATATAAATCGACTGTCGAATAAAAATAAGGGAGAAAGCACTGTTAGTGATTATCGTTTAAAAGTTGACGAATCAACGAATGCTACCAAGTAATTTGATGCAAAATATTGGTTTGTAAATTAGAACACGACTACGAGCTGCTAAAGTTACATGTTTCAACCACACCCCATTTACTTTGGTATAGTGAGACACGTAGTATCATTAACCCTAACATATTAAAAATTGTGGCTCAAAACCGAGTGTACCGATGTATACTTTAAGAAACTTTATTTGGTGTTGGATGTTCTGGTCCTTGAGATACTTGTAACCTATGGTTGAAGAGTATGATTCAAAATCACTTGTAGTAGTACAGATAAATTTGCTCTATACCTCTAGCTGTAATATTATTTAATAGTTAATAATGATTCATTTAATGTGACCACTTTAAACTATGCTTCGTATATATAGTTCTTTATCACTACTAATACAATTATTTCGAATTTATTGATTTCGATATGGTTTCTTATTACTGTGACAATTTGAAATGTGGCGACTAAAAGTCTATGTCAAATCCTACAATGTTTATAACTGAATGACTTTGTTTAACTAAAATTTCATACGTCATGGTACTGACCAAGAAGTTTATGCTGTCTGTGAAAACCTAAATTGATGTAAGTAAATGCAGTAGAAGAGACATTATCGTTGAACAACATAAAGTCAAATAAAAATGAGAACAATCTTTGGTTTGTAGAAATTGTCCTGATGATGCATAGGTATACATGTTCAACATAAATCCATTGCTTATAAGTATTAAACATAAGCTTCATCTGATAGCGAATATTATCATCATTCCAAACCCATATTAATTAATAAACAAGTATAAGGTTTATGTATTCACTTGTGAGCTCTACTTTATATGTGAGACCTATCGATACGACTAAACTGTCTGGAACGAATCAAGGAAAGTAATCCCACTTGAGTTACTACAGTTGCACCCATGAGGCTTTATCTATTTTCCCTGAGGAGGGAAAGGTGATACAGTGAAGCAATCAGATGTCAGCCAATAGAAGCTTTGTTCTCACTCAAGTAGTTGGTTGGGTCGTATATAGGGAGTTTATTCGACAGTATCAGGATTTGAAAGCCCACAGTATAACAGAAAGAATAGTTCGAGCTCTTTATATACCTTCTATATAACCCTCATTATATTGACAACAATTAAACGAAACCTTTATTAATATGTCATTCAGTTATTCTATTATTAATCAATTTTGTAGTTATGCTTACCCGCTTCAAATGAAAATCCAGTCAACTGTATAATTACACTCGACATATTTGACTTTTTCCATCGGCGAAATCTATCATGATCAGTAATATTTTCCTCTGATTTTGGCTCATGATACTTTTCCATTGCTGCTGTCAAACTATTAGCAGTAGTAATAGTAGCTGCAGCGGAAGTATTCGATGTATATGGTGTAAAGACATCTGCGTCTAACAATTCCGAACCAATCTCATCTGGACTTAATAAAAATGATGAAGAGTTGGGCAGATGCTGATGATTGAGGTGTGGCCATAACATATCGTTGGTTTGATATGTACACGATGAATTCAAATTAGATAAAACTTCATATGGTTTAGTCCAGTCATCCATCGAACTGGATATACTTTGTAGATCAGATAAATCACTGGAAATAGAAAACTGTTGACTTATATTATTTGTAGATGAATTGTTTGCCCAAACTCCATCCTAAAATGAGTAGTTAAATTAAAAACCATAGCAAGTATTACCACTGAAAAAAATTCTACAGTAATTATTTTCAAGATTTATCCATTTTGTACGTAGTAAAAACACCAAACAAGGACTTGACGGGACACTTAGATTCATATGAGTTGATATGTCCTCGTTTTGAATCTATGTGAAAATGACGAAATTCAAAAAACTTGCGTAAACTGTGAAATAATATATAGCCGGTGTGAAAGTAGATCCGCACAGCAGGAGCAATGTTGATAATGCACTCTGATAACACTGTGTTGTTGAAACAGAGTGAGTAATAATAATAATGTTTTACTTCACATACAGAAAATCGACTAAATAAGATGTCCCAGGATAGATCAACATATATAGCTACCCGTTGTAAAATGGTCTTGAACGTGATTATCATTTACTACTTAGGCAGAAAGACTACGTCTAAATGCTATTTCCTAGTTATCTGAGTAATGAGCTTTGGGAAATTATTTGGTCTTCTTTTTGTTGCCTTTATTCAAGATCTCAAAGTGTTCCCAGTCAAACTCGTATTCACTGTATGTGTATATATGCGTTTTCTAAGCGAAATGTCAAGTTAAAATTTCTTATAGCGTGTTAGTGGCAAAGAGAGATTAGTTTGTCGAACGTAATGCTTATTACAATTATTACAGTTGATTTTGCAAGCGATGTTCAACTTGTCTCCTTTTCGAAGAGGAATGATAGAAATATTATGCAAACCAGGAGTAAACGATTCGAATCTCATCTATAAAGTAATGGAATTCAACTCGACTTGATCCACTACGGTCGAAGGAACGGATTAGTAGCGCAAGAAGAACACACATATTCGAAAATGTGATTTAAATCGGGGCATTTGAATCTGTTATTAAGTTGGTAAAATCAGTTTACTTTTATTAATTTAAAGGATTAAGTTGCTGGTGGAGATTCGACTGATCAATTTTGTCATGGATAAGTATCAACTGGTGGACGTTGGGAACTGAAATTACTCGATAGCTGTTTCGTTATAGACTGAGAATCTAAAGCCAAACAAATTCATGGCCTCACATAAAACTGTATTCGAAACTTTCAAGTCCATCCACGAGAACGTAGTCAAAAACCAGTGGTTCACATGGCCAACTTTATTCATATCCAGAGACAGAACGATGATAGTTCAATGTGACTGATGAGAACGGTTTTGCTTCTGACATACTTGAACAACACACCTTATCCTAATACATGACTTCTCGCTAAACAAGATACACTCACTTAAAAAGACAAGCAAGTAACTTTTTATAACAACTTACCGCAACAGGATTAAGCATAAAAAGATCTTGTTCAGAGAGAGGTTTATTTTGTGACTGTTTGTTTCGGTCATCCCCATTACATTCATTTTTTTTATTGACAAACGTAACTGTCGAATGAGTTTTACGTTTCATTAAAAGCATTTTGGCTGATGATAAATCGGAATTTACTAACTTATTCGTACATCTATTACTATTATTATTAGCGCCATCAGTAGTTCCAATACCACGATCACTATCATTTTGTGTTAAAAATTGCGGACTATCATCTGAGGAATTAATGCGCCCACGCATTGATTTCCGAAGATTAGTCCTATTCGATTTACTATTGTCCAACACAGAACCTTCGGTTTTTAATGATAACGAATCCCATGAGGGTGTAAACATGGAGTGATGACGGCAAATCGGTGTCTGCGACGACAATGGTAGCATTGCAGCAGCAGAAAGTGGAGTAAGATTATGTGAGAATTTTGTTGAAAATGATGGTGATGATGACGATGACAATGAAGTAGTTGATAAACATTTATTCGGAAAAAAGTTGACACATGTAGCAGATACGTTTGGAGTATTCTGTAGACTAGTGTCAATATTATTCTCCGTGAAACTAGGAGACGATACTTGTTTCATACGAATTTCATTTTCTTGATGATGAAAAACATTTACGTCCAGCTCAATTGACCGCAGTGTGGAAAAACCTACACAGCATAACAAATTGTGGTAATTATGATTTGATTGTGGACTGATTGATAATGTGGATCGACTTTCGGTGATTTGTGTAAATGCCTGATAATCTAAGCACAAACGTGTTTGTACATAAGAAATTTGCTGATATATATAATACAAAAATATGATCTGATCTAATGTGTCAGGAATTCTCAGTTTTTCACTGTTCATGGTAGAAATTTTGATAAGGCGTGATAATAAAATACGATTAGTGTGTAATTGATCTGTAGAACCTAAAAAGAATTTGATTGGATATTGATCTACTGATTGGTTTATCATATGTGAGGATGATGATTTTGAATCCATAGGGATTAATTTATTGTCAATATCAATTATCAACGATATTGGAGAATGATTGAATGGTTGATTATCGTTGATAACTGTTGAAGGCATCGATATATTAATTGGTATTAATGACCATATAGTTAAAGGAAGAGATTCAATTAATGATTGACGATATATTACACAATCATTTATTCGATGATCGTTGTTAGCAAGATGAACAGAATGGTATGTCGTCATATCAACTATTGTAAGAAATTCACTCCATACATTTGGACAGTGAATACACCAAAATTGTTCTTCGAAATTCTATGGAAAGTTTTTGAAAAAATATAAAATTATATAATAAATGAGGTTTTTAATGCATGTACATGTTTATGTACTGAGCTTGTGGTACACTTTTAAAGTGCTACGATAATATTATTCAACTTTCAAGTCAAAGCAATTTGAGTAAAAAATTGCCCTTACAACTCAGTGCTATTGATAGTTGAATGATTCAACCGATAAGCCATCGTTTCGTACAGAGGTCAGAAGATTAGGCTGTATAAGAAAAGGGCGAATGATGTTGACTCAATCTGAAAACCGTGAAATAGACGAAATCTAACCGATGACTACCCAACATAAAATATTCATGATATAAATATAGACAATAGATGAGCTTTTATTGTAATGACTTTAATCTAGTGGCTGGTAAATGACCTAGAAAATCCTAATGATGATTTACACTAAGAATTTCAAACATGTTTATTTTGTGATAAATAGCTTTTGTGTATAAGTTTATCATTTTTGGCTTATACTTTGCTAACGAAATATTTTATTTTTGATATTCGTTTATAGGGGCCATATTTAAATCAGTTCGGTTTTTGAAAGTAGCCATCATAAGATTGAATTGTTCGTTATTAATTCAAGTGGTTGATCGTAGTCAGCACAATCAAATAATTTTTAAACCGTAACGCTACCTTAATGTGCAGAAATGCAACATTTTCGAAAAGAAACATTGCATAAAGACTACCATTTAGTGGAGCTCTTGACTCATAAATTTGCCGGATTTAATTCACCTATATAGAAAGAATTAATTAGCAAACACTACCTTCCCATATGCCTATAGTGAGTTCAGTGAGAATGTATTCACTTCAGATAAATCGGGCATAAGGCCAAACTTTAGTTATCTAAACCTTCATTTTGAAAAATACAATATTGATTTGTGAAAATTCTATGGTCTATTTTAAAGGAGAATTAACATCAAAAAATGGTGTTAGTAAAATCTATCAAGTTGGAAGAGCAACACAAGCTTCCACATGACACTAAATCTGACTAGTACAACATAGTAAACTAATACTATTTGGAAGTGAAGACTAGTGGATACTGGCGTGATAATGTAGACACATCGTATTCACTATGAGAACTGAAGATGCTGAGTCTAATAATCGCTCGTTTTCAACGGTTATTCAAATTACACTAATCTATGATGAGAGGGGGTTTGGACCTGAGATCTATTCTTTCAAGAGCCAAGTGCATTAGCAGGTAAACTACCACTTCGTAAAACACTCTTTTAGAAGATGAGAGTTAGTTCTAAAAGACGATTTTCACTTGGTGATATACTATTGTTTACTCTTTTAAAGAACATATATAAACCATAACTGTTAGCGCAAACATGCACGTCAATTACAATAAAACAAATTTACAAGGAATAAATCAAATATTGTTTCACACCTTAAAACTTACGGGACATAAACTATGTAATTCTGTAGCTGACTGAACTAGTTTTTGGAATTTGGACAAATCTGGTGATTTGTGCGGAACAGCTTGAGAAATGAATGGATTATTGCCCATGCAACTGGTATCATATTGACCATAACTCAATTGCAAATTATCTAATAGCTTCTTCAAACAATCAGCAACATGTGATGATATAGGAGCCGCTAGTGACTGTACGATAATTTGATCTGACTGAAAGACAATAATTTTGGGGGAAAAGAGCAAACTGAACGAAAAAATTGAGAGAAATAGAAAAATTTGTTTCATACACTCATCAGCAATCATAGAGACAGTGCAGAAGCTATTATCAATACGTATCGATCCAAGTTATCTCTTTAGCCTACTTCGAATCATGTCACTTAGTGTTAAACTGTATACTCTAATTATTCTACAGACTTCAATTAGAAATTCTAAATACCCTGAGACGAACCAGTTCAGTAGTTAGTAAGTTTGTGAAACGATATCATAAAATGATCTGCCCGTCCGTAGCTTTTGTGTAATCCATTTCTATGGTAGCCAGTATATCATGTCCAGGTAGACACCGATTTGGCAAATGACAATAAATATCCCTTCAGTTGGTAGATGAACGTTCACAACCCAGTTCGAAATTTACTATTTTCATCCGGTGTTTCGAAAGACATGGATCATTAGATACTATCGTTGTGTATGAGAACACAGGCGAGGACAACCAACTATGTATTTAGCACAAATTACAATGTTACTTGGTAAAATACAAAAACCATACTATGATACACTATTTGCAAAATGTTCTTCAATTGCCTCAGACTTCATTGTTCCTGGATTTCCACACAAATGGCTTTTTATTTCTCTTCTTGATCTTCTCAATCTTCTGCTGTCAGATATTCTATTCCTTACTCACCATATATACTACTTATGTCGATATAAGTAGCTCACACCGCACTATCACTCAAGTATTTTATGAGCGAGACATTCGAATTGAATGACTCTTTTGAGTAATATATTATAAACATGACTTGTTTGTGAATAGTATTTAAAATCCTCCTCCAACTTCTGGTGGCGACTGAAGTTTAGCAATTACAAAATAATCAATACAGTTTAAAAAATACATAGTATTATCCATAGAAGAATAATTAATTACTTGTAAAATAAGTGCGTGTGGTCCAATCCAATTCGATGAATTCGTATGACGATTGGACTTTCCAAATAGTGAGAATATCAACTATATTTGAAAAAAATTATTGCGAGTTAGATCATCTAAAAGATACTATGAATTCAAATGAAACTTTCAACACTGATTGACAGAGCACAATGATAATCTGAACCAAAGACCAGAAGAGGTTTACAGTCATGGTCGACTGAAAAAACACACGTGATCATATGTTTTAGATGGAACAGTCTGGCAGAGACCATTCTAAATGTTAGACAGCAGTTATTAGTACCCGATCCCGATCGGGGTACAATTAAAAATCAGGAGGCACTGAACAGCTCTCTCGTCATGGTATGGGGCTTCTAGCAATTCTCACTGAAGATACCACTAGGAATCTGCGTCGAAAATACATATTGTCAAATGTCAATCCAGTGGTCTAGCAATCACGAACCATCGCACAGAATATGAGTTACCTTTTTACTTCTATAATACATACACAAACTTACCAACATCCGAATGTTAAAGTAAACATTATGAAAACCAAAATCATCATGTCGTATATATATATATATATATATATATATATATATATATATATATATAGTGGTCATATGCCCTATTAATATACAACGTAATGATACCGCCAATTAGAGAAGTGACTTATCGACCGGATCAACGATACATAAACCCGTACGAACAGACTAGAATCCTTATTGGTCCTTCTTCCTATCTAGCCCCGCCTGTTAAGTCCAGAACACCAATCTCGGCCTACGCAATATGAATCATGTATTTCAAACACACTGGGTTTATATACAAGTCAACAGTTATACAATAAAAATATAGGTAATAACAGTCCATTAATAATTTCTAGTAGTTACTATTATATCCTAGTGAAGACATAAGTATAGGTAACTTTCAGGACCTATTAATGGACGATTATTCTATATATATTCTTATTGTTTAACTATTCAGTAATTAGATTGTGCATATCTATATTCATCTTATTATAAGCTTCATTTTGACCTACGAATTATCATTATTATTACTATACGATTTACTGTCCCTAAACTATATTCAGTTACTTGCTTACTGTCTCCCACGTTCATAGCCACATTTGGTTTGATCTTGTACAAATATTAATTTCTATGTTATGATATGATGTGGTCTGTCTGTCAGGTATATAAACCGAGTATGCTTGAAATAAATGATTCGCATAACAGAGGCTGCAATTGGTGTTCTGGACTCGATTGGAAGGGCTAGGCGGACAAGGGATCAATAAGGACGCTAGACTACTCATACCGGTCGAACGCCATTGATTTGGCACAGTGCTAAGATTGGATAAGTTGTATTTCCGTTGAAGGATAATTCACGTATTCGTGTATTCACGTATTCATGTATTCGAACTCAAGCGATATTTTTTGGATAAAGAACTAATGACATAGCTAGACTGATCGAAACGAAGTGATCAGGGCAAATGTTTAACTCTATAACTTAATGATTGGAAACCACATGATTGTATACCATCAAACAACTACACTGTTTTTATGGTAAAGGTAATCTATGTTGTATGAACAAAACTGAAACAAAAATTATGGTGGTTTGAACTAAAATTATAACCTATTATATTTAATCACCTATTTGAATAAATCAGCAGTCAGGAAATAATTTTCCTATCGAGTAGACGTCTAAATAATTTACCAAACGATGGGGATTTTTTGAAGTACGTTATTGATCAGAGCGATCACAATAATCGCTTGATTCAATATTATACACAGACTTCCCATCATATGGGCGAACAAAGACCTAACATTTAGTTTTGCAAAATTTAGGGTTTACTGATCTTAATATTTACTTTAAAATAATCCTAAGTTGCAGAAATTCACCCGCCAATTTACGCATTATTAAAAGTATCATCAAACGTAAGACCCGTCCAAGTGATACCCAGAATGATTATCATACATTCTGTGACGAGTACTACTTCTATCACTTTGGTAATCATCTTATTATACTAATGAGATGTAGCAAGTTGGACCGATGCATATATGTGCCAAGTCCTACGTTGTAGCCGACTTACTGACTTGGGGATGAGTAGGAATCTCATGGAGTTAGGTTTGGTCAGTAGAGAGGGTAGTTCTACGAACTGATTGGATTAATGACCAGAAATATGAAGACTATAACTGGTGAAAGGTCTACCCAATAAATACACGAAATGTTTTGAGGTAATTAGTCATGGGTCTAACTAAATCAACATCCACCACAAATGTAGGACATTTTAAAGGGATATAATCAATGTATTTTAAACTCTATGAAACAAAATTCTGAGCTTTTACTGGACGGATTGTGTATGCCCAATCATGGTGAAAAATTATCAACACAAAATGTGTAATGTTACAACAAGTTCAGGTGATGTATCCACTTAACTCGTGAATAGCTTGTAAACTTTTTATAAAGTCACGTGGGCAAGTATTGCATTTATACAATCTCATAATGTCAGAAGTTAGAAAGTTCAACTATTAATACTTAGAAATTAACATAGAATCTCACTAGATGACCATAAATCTAGAAATAATAAACAAAACACTCCGAAAAATTCTACTTACACGAGGCATCAAAGCTTCAAGACGGACATGATATCGATTTAAATCAAACAGTCTGTTTGATTGATTCGATGGATTCTTCATATCTCTGCCGCACAAAAAAGTTGACTAAATAAATATAACAAAAATGAGTTTGGATTTAGCAAAATATGAAAATAATTACAAATTAGCAACATAAAAACCGAGAAGTAGGATATAACAAAATTAGATATGCTTCACATAAGCTGACAAAGTATACAGTAAAAAGAATTTCATTGATAAAAATTTAATTACCCCCATTCATTATCCAAGACCAAGGGTCAGACCAAAGTGAGATACAATCAAAATAAAGAGGGACATAGTGACGGGTTAAATGTCAACAACAACCAGTCATGATCAAGGTCGGCAGGACAAGCTATGATTTATATGTGGAGAAATCTGAACGCTTTACTTTTACCTGAAGTTTTTGCCAATGATGTTGTTCAGAAGTACAATGAAAGGCACACGACAAAAGTATCCAGCTCATAGAACAAAACTCCACCAAAATTGTCCACCTATGCTACAAATCTTCATTATATCGAGGTGGGAAAAGGGATTTCAATCAATACCAGAATAAAGGAATATATTTAAAAAGGGATAGCTGGCATGTTTTATACCGTTCAAGATTTGTCACTTGAGCTAACGATGAACGATACAATATTCCTTACACCAAGACATGAAATCATCAGCCTGGTTAGTTACAGTGGCCACATACTAACAGACCTTTATCAAATCAATCTTCTGAATTGAAAATCGCTTAAGAATTAGAAGTACCACAGATCGTCCGTATTTCTAAACATTTACAATGTATAAATTACAAAAAGTTGAAAGCTATTGCTTTATTCAAACAGTTTCACATTGTGTCAACAATTGCAGCCTTGAAGTTAACAGTGTAAATCGATAACAGTGTTTTATTTATTGACGGATAACATTGGAAAACAAATAAATAAATAAGAAATGTGACTATTTTATAACTAACTAATAATCTGATCAAACTAATTATAGGTAGTAAAAATCAAAATTCATGATTTGTTTTGTTGTGCTAAAGATCCTTCAATGCAACGGTGTGAGGAAGAAAATTGATCTTACAAATACTCGGAGCTCAGATATTACAGATATACAGTAAGAATATGTGTAATCATAATCAAAATTTTAGCAAGTTATGTTCGATGTTAATTACGATTATAAACTGATATCAAGTGAAGAAAAACTATTAAAGAACTAGAAGGGATGGAAAACCAATGAATTTTATTAATTTGAATAATAGTTTTATGCTTACTACTAATTAGCTCGGAGAAGAATTCCAAAAAGTTTTAGTGATAATAGCTGTGATTGGTTAAGTACAATTATATCGTTATAAATACCTAGGTAACTGATAGTATTGACTGATAGTTGTACTATAACGCGAATTGGTGTTTGAAAAATTGAATCTCAACTCAGTGAACTAAAAAGTAACACGTTGACTATAAAACTTATAGGTCCTGAGTCCGAGCTCACTTAGTGTTGTAGACGTACTTTACTAAGGATCGGGCAAAAGTTGAACAAAATAGCTTTGTGATGCGTTGTGGTTTTCGAACGATTTTGCAGCTACAAAACACTTTATTCAGCATAAGAATTTTCTTCGACGAGTTTAGTTTCAATACTGTGCAATCGTGTATGTATGTGTCATATTACAGGTCTACGAATAATTATGTGTTGGTTAGAATTTGACTGGGTATTAAGAGAAATTAAATCATATGATATTTTTAAACAATTAAATAAGAGGGAATTTATGAAACATGAAAATATACAATTAATGGAGTGAATAGAGTAATTAGAAGTGTTGTTAATTTGAAATGCTGATATATGGATGGTGATCCAGAAATCGAAACAACATTTGTGAAAATAATAATGATGACTATTTCTGTAGACATAGGGGTAAAACAATAAAAAAGAAATTGAGCAAACAAACAAAACAAACCCATAAACTAACGCTATATTAACTAGAGGGGGATATCAAGCAAGTTATCTTTGCACAATCAACGCGGACTATATTTTATGGACAGGTAAGAAGAAGTTGGTTCAGACGTATACATGTCAGCGTCTTTGACTGAATTTTACAAATAATGACAAAGGATGACTCGGAGTTTAAATTTCCTGTCTAATAAATATTACAAAATGGATGACATAATTGACCTATGTTGTACCTTGTTAAAACATAGTGGTAAGTGCTTCTGAATAGAATGAAGAAAGGGTTTGTACGAGCGACTTGTAACTAATGTTAGTCTGCAACGAAAATCTGTGTTAAATAGAACAAGCACCACAATTCCTTTATTTTAATAACATATATACAAAATTTACTGACCATTTGTTTCATTCTAAGATTCAACAGCAGTGAACTTACATGACAACAATACAGATAAACTCAAGATAATTTTACATTGAACGAATTATGTGCAATAAATAGGTTTTTGATTTCAAGTATACTCTTAATTTCCTAATCCAAAACCCAACATACACACATGATGAAACAAGAGTTTATCACTTTTAATCAACTATTCAATACTTGTTCATGATTATATATCCTGATAGATGTATTCTCAAAAACAGATAGATAGATTAATGCATACAATAATAAGAACAACAATGGTAGATTAAACTTCACACAAGTATACAAATATATTTTGGAAAATAGATAGTATTAGGAAAAAACAAATCTGATAGAATTGCTGCGTGCGTTTGAAACTAAAACGCTAGGACAATAACAACAACATACGACAATGAAATAATAACTTTTTTTCCAAATAAGGAATTATTATTCAAATAAAGAAACCAGAAGTCGAAGCTAAAATGAATGAATGAAGAAAAGGGAGGGGGAATTATAAATGATAAAACAGTAGAATACATGAAATATATTCACTAGCTACAATTTTAATGGACTTATTTTCAAGCTACACAATGAGATGATTAGTAATATTACTACCTAGTTATCTAAACTAAAGTAAGTCAAGTGGGATTTGAACATAAGAAAATACTGGTTAAAAATTGATTGCTTTAACCACACTAACAGAGTAGTAAAGAAAATACGATCGTAATTCATATGAGTTAATTAAAATGATAGGTGAAGTCAAAGTGATCTTTATCTTCATCTCAATGTGAGCAAACAACTGTCGAAACAGCAGTGAGATCTAACAGTATATTAAATCAAAAGGTTGAGCAAAATCTGATGATTTCTGTACCATCTATTGAACGGACAAATACTTGGAAACTGATATCCTCAGGTTTCAAACACGATGAGGAACTAAGGTAGCTTATCGTAGAACGGTAACAAGTTTGCGTAATGATCGTGAACAGTGGTGGGTAGCGAAAGCAAATTTGAAAAAGGTAGAAGACAACAGTACACAAATGTTCAGAATTATCAGTGAAACATCAGTTAGAAATCGGGTAACGACGGAACTATTGTCGACTCTCGATCTAGGATATTGGACCGGAGGGAAGAATACTTTAGTGGACAATTGAATTGGCCTTTAGAAACCTTCCAATTATTTACTATCTCCGAATAACCTTTACGGCAAATCGGCTCAGTGGTCTATTAGTTAAGTGCTCCGGAGCGAGACTGGTAGGTCCTGGGTTCGAATCTCGCGAGTGCGGGATTGTGGATGCACAGTGCTGAGGAGTCCCGTAATAGGACGAAACGGCCGTCCAGTGCTTCCAGGTTTGTGATGGTGGTCTAGCTTCAATTGTAGAAATACTGAAATCTCCACAAAACCCCTCCTGATTCAAATCGACATAAGTCTTTCAACTCTTAAAAATGTTACACGTAATCTAAAGCGAAGGAAAACAGCAAGTCCAGAGAGATTAACCCACATGGCATTCGATGATTGTGGTTCAGTTTTAGAGGCTATTTCGACTGAGATAGTAGTTAAGATTTGGGGACTGAACATAAACACTTCTAATCAGTCTCGATCGTTGATCGTCTCAGCCTACAAAATAAGACAAAACTCTTCTTGTGACAATCACAGAGAAATCAGTTTAACTGATATAGTATCTAAAATACTAACTTAATTAATTACCCAACGATTAACTAGGGATCGAGAAGGGCTAACCCAGGAAAACAAGTCTGGTTTCAGACCTGAGAGTCAATGCATCGACCAAATATTAGCAATTCGTCAGTTTCTAGAACGCAGCCATACTTTTCGACGTCCGACTATAGTTGTATTAACCCTAAAATAACATTCGACTCTGTTGGTCGACAGGTTTTATGGCAGTAACTGTGATTGAAAGGTGTATCGTAGAAGCACGTTAACAAAATAAAGGCTCTCTACTCCAGTAATAATGGTCGAGTTAGAGCTTATAGGGAACTGTCATCAGAATCGTCAACCTTACGTTATGTTCTTCATGGCAGTCTACATTATTATTACTATTATTATTATTACTATTATATTATTATTATTAATGGCTTTATTCACTATTATAATCTGGTACAATATAAAATTCTCAGCACGAGTTATTTCAACAAGTTTTTTTACCCATTTTTACTCAACTTCGCCATGGACATTATTCCGAAGACAACTCTCCTACTGTCTAGCATTTTAAGGGATTAGTTTTCTATCAGGAGATTCATTTGTTAACTTAGAATAAACAAATGACATAGTTCTTTCTTTTGACCGCCTTAAGGAATAATGTAAGCACGTTTGAGATGCGTTTCTCTCCCTTCAAATTCAAAATTTTGCTTCATGACTGGTTCGTATCGGCGCCTGAACTACTCATAAAAAGTGAAGTAGTTGTGTTAGTTAACCACCCAACTGATGGGTGGGTTTACTGAGCAGCAGTAAGCTCCGTCATACTTTATGGGTGTGAAACACAACCATTAAGAATAGGGCATATTCTTAAGTTACTGGTATTCAGTCAAAAGTGCCTTCGAAGCACCGATCGTGTATTTTGAGATCATTGGTTGAGCGACATCGAGAATAGGCAAAAGGTACTAGTTAAAGATGGTAAATTGATTGGTAAGGTAGTGCATTTTGCAACAACCGAGGTGGTTGAAACATGTGTTTCATACGCTTAATCACTACCTTGATGAGAGACGTCGTTTGCTCTAGGAGTATACTAAAAGAAAGCTTATGGTTCCCGAGCCAAGATGTGGAACCAATCCGCGAAGTCACTGACAACTGAACTAACTGAGCCATGTTAATGGATGTAGACTACCTGGTTGGGGTTCACACGATTTTCGTAACTAAAAGTTAGAGACTGGGTAACATGGATCAGAATCGCTCGAAATAGCACAGATGCATTAACCATTTGTTTTTTTTTAGAAACTGAGTGCTAAAATCACCGCGTACCTTTTTCTTCATTCTTCTATATCTAACCCTTACTACAAGGACTAATACTATAGGATTTGTCTTAACAATTTTATCTAGCTGTGTTTATACTGTGTGTGGTAACTTGAACCGAAACATGTCAGGTTCTAGGTTGCGTATGAGTGACTAAAGATGAATCTGCTTCATACATTACTTTAAATTCTTCGATTTCAATATTAATAAACACCTATTAATATTTGCGTACTCAAGTCATTGAGTTTAAAATTATAATCCGTACCACTGTTTCACTATTATCATTAGTTTTGTGGTTTCTTTTTTACTACACTATTTTACATCTAGTTAGTTGCTTATCACATGAGAAAGTATGAAGTGTGACAGCTTTTGTCGCATCAGAACGGAGATTATAGAAATGATAAGTTCCGGAACTGTTTTATGGGTCATTACTATATCCTTATTGAATAACTACTAAACAATTAGAATATGTTTCCATACTCCGTTTATCGTAACCTATCAACTGATATTATACAGTTTATTATTTCTAATTTATCGCCAATCAATTACTTACAGCTTGTCTTATTCATAATCACTTTTAACATTTTGTGTATGATTGTAGTTTTTCGATTTGTGGTGTGATTTGGTGCAGTATGTTTGTGTATATATATCCATGCATACTGGAAATAAATATAGTAGGAGCTGGCTGGGAATAGGCATGGAATAATGAGGAAACTTTCGGATACCGGAATAACAGTAGTGTAGCTTGCGTAGTCTGGAAGTTAATTATGCAAGTCAGAAAGTATAGTTAGTCGAGTCTAAGACGCTAGGCAATAAACCGAGTAGTAGATGAGGGATATAAAATATCATAATCAACTTCTGACTGATGACACTGGCGCGTGATGTAGATTAGTATTTCAAGCCATAACAATATTGGTCGAAATACAGTTGCTCCTTGGTCCTACTGATGCCGTTACTGCTTCTGAAACTCTGGGTTTTGCTTTGACAGTTTTACTCCACTGTGCTGATGTGTTTTGGCAACTTGGACTGATGCACATATATGCCAGGCTTTATGTTGCGTATGATCTATTATTATATTGAGTAATTACTATTTACAGAAGTAAGCCAGTTTACTTCAATTTCTATTGTTACTTATGGCACCAATGAATTTATTTTAAGCATTACAGTAAATTAGAACATTAGAACACATTTAGCATACTTCACTTCAACTTGATGCAATTAATTCACATACGTTTATGATATCCTCCGTTTTTCATATATCAGTCCATTTACACTTTCTGTAGTATATTTTTAGACAGATTTGGGGATCGATATTTAGCTAATTTTAATTAGCACTAATAGTTTCTTTAATGTACCTTGTTAACGATCGATATGATAGCTGTTCACAGCTTCTTTTTTATAAATATTACAGTTCAAGGTGAAAACTACATTTAGATAATATTATTGTGGTGAATAGTTCAATATCTTAGACATTTGAACAGCATAACTATTACATTTTTTAATAATATCTCCATAGATGATGAAAAATATGAATAAACAATAATAAAAACAACAGATGGAAATGAATAAATAGTTGCATTCTGTTATATCTTAACGAAGACATAAGTACAGGTAACTTCCAGGACCTACTAATGAACGATTATTCTATATATATTCTTACTGTTTAACTACTCAGTAACTAGATTGTGTATATCTATATTCATCTTATTATAAGCTTCATTTTGACCTACGAATTATTACTGTACGAATTACTGTTCCCAAATTATGCTCAGTTAATTGATTATTGTATCCCACGTTCATAGCCACATTTGGTTTGATCTTGTACAAATATTATTTACTATTTCATGGTGTGATGTGGTCTGTCTGTCTGGTATATAAACCGAGTATGTTTGAAACAAATGATTCACATAACAGAAGCTGTAATCGGTGTTCTGGACTCGATTGGAAGGGCTAGGCGGACAAGGGACCAATAAGGACGATAGACTGCTCATACTAGTTGAACGTCATTGATTTGTCATAGGATCAAGATCAGAAAGGTCGTATTTCCTTTGGTGGATGATTCACGTGATAAGAGGCGGATATAAAAATCAATAACGAATTGTCATATGTCCTTTGTTTATTTTGTAGAGTCATAACAAATTGGCGACGGGGATATTGGCAAAAAAATATACAACAATTGGGACGTGATTTTAGAAATAAATAAGTTGTAATAATTGCCGGTGATTTTTCGAAGTTAATATTATTCTTTGCAGAAAAAAAAGAATAGCAATTTCTTTAGAACAGTTGCACTTATTGTTACAGCAACAGCAGCAGATGTTAGCTATTCAACAGCAACTGATTCAAGCAGTTTTGGGCAAACTTTCTCCTCGACCAGAGATTCCAGGAAATAAAGATGCTATTTACAATTCAGACAAGGGTGCAGTAATGACCGTTTCAGAAGTATGCCCGTTGGAGGGTTCAAGTCCCCTTATAACTGAAGCAAAATGTAAAGTTGGTAAATTGGCCGGCTCACAGCAAGACAATATCTTGCTAAAAGCACATGAATTTGTGACAGCATCAGATGACCAAGAAACAGAAGACTCTGCACATAAAGCCCTGAGTTCAGAATTAAATGAAGCACTATTGACTCCGCCAAACTCTGAAGACAAACTTCAGTCAGAACAAAACTATGGTCCAGGTGATATTGGTCAAGAAAGCTGTCGGGATTGTTATCCAGAAAAAGACTGGAACAGTACGATGAACCCTATTGTGCCAAATGTAACTCAAAATCATTGGGAGACAGAAGCTTATAGTGAACCAGCTTCGTATCCGATTTCTCATTCCACTTTACGAGATATGGGTTCACATAATGATGAACATAATTTTGATGAAGTTTCTTATAATAAGATGAATATAGATATACATAATCTAGTTACTGAATAGTTAAACAATAAGAATATATATAGAATAATCGTCCACTAATAGATCCCGGAAGTTACCCATACTTATGTCTTCGCTAGGATATAACACATTCAATTTATACAAGAAAACTAAGACTACCATTCGATAGTTGAAAGAGAACATCCAGTTTTTAGAACCACTGACTGGAAGCAAAATATCTAAATCGATGCGCCAAAGTTTTTATAGTTCGTAACAAGAGATGAGAGTCCATAACACCAAATCTCACGTGATACAGATTACAACGTAAAAAAGTCCTACAACATTATCAATATTATTGAATTTCGTCGGATTATCTAAAACCAGAGTATTTTTTCTGTTGCCAAATCCGTTTTTTAAATATCTTTTTCCTAATAAATGTTGTATTAATTAGTTAGGTATGGATATCCCACAAGAGATCAACCTAAAAGCAAATAGCTCAGTGGTTAGAAAATTAACGGTGATACTGGGTGACACGAGCTTGAATTGTCTGAGGATTTTCTTGAAGATTGTAGATACCTCTGGTTAACAAGTGCCAACCAGAATAACACCGAAGTTAGTAGCTGCTTACAGATTTATTTAAACCACTTTACACAAATACAGTATTAACCTCTAACAGTACCAAAAGACAACCACAGAAGGAACAACATAGAATTATCAACAATACAAATAAAATAAACTATGCGTCCAATTACCAAGTTTGACTGTAATGCCAATAGAAATGTATTCAACCATATAACAGTATCTGGATCGAAATTTATATAAAATGGATTGATTTGACAAAACAATGAACATGGTAAAGCTGAAATAGAAATTGAAGACAATGAGAATAAGAACTCGATAAACAAAATCGAACGTGATGATGGACTGATAAAAGTAATAGAAGTAACTGCGGTGATCTAATTGATAGTTATCTTTAACAAACAGCCTATGAGATACGATTTTTAAGCAAACAGACCCCAAGGGATAGCGATGCTGACTGGATATATATATATATAATTACTAGAGGCATAAAGGGGTCATTGATCGTACTGAACAAGAACTATATTTGAATCCAGCTACTTAAACCAAAGTAGATGGGACTTTAAATTCTCAAAAATACTGCTACATTGCTTTTATTCCTTGCTTGTATACATTTGAGTCTCTGTTTTCTGTCACTAAATTTTCTCACAAGTCATCCATGATTAAAGACACTATTTACTTATCACCCTTTTGATAGGCTCATTGTTCATCGGTATTGACCTGTTTAAATTGATATTCTTTGGTCTCCACTGTTAAATCTGCCCTGCAAGTTTTATCTTCTTAATTAGACAGAGCTAGGAAGACTGGAAGAGAACTGTGGTATTCAATGTATTCGAAGTGAGGCAAGGTGTTCCCACCGTGTAGTTAAAGCACATCAGAGAGGAGTTCGTATTTTTGAACAAATGGTTTGATCAATAGCCCAATCCTTCTTTCCAGTGATGAAATGGACTGATTCCAAATGCACTCGGCTTTCAACAACAAGAATGATAGTTCACATCCACATGTCTCGACTTAACAAGCTAGGATCGTTAGCTTCTATCGAAACATGTGGCTTGAAGCTGATTACACAAAGCTTTAATTATTTACTGAATTAAAATAAACACAGATGACATTAAAAAAACCACACAATGTAGTAAAACTGTGGCAACTTGAAATGATGCACAGTTGTAATTGGTTATACGTTTTTCTCATAATTAACTGATTAACTAAACTTAGTAAAACCGTTTATTCGAATATACAATTATTCTTTAAATGATATAAATATCACAGTGACAAATAAAGGGACTAGAATTACCCACAGCATTGGTTAAATTGCCCGTGAACTGTTATGTTGGGATACGGTAGTAATTGTGTGTAACAAACGAGAGAATAGCTTTCATCAGAATGGCGCAAAAATCGACATAACAGATTCAAAATTCATAATAGGAAAATGTAACAAGTTCAAGATTTGAACGAAAGCGTAAATCGTATTAGTTAGTCTATCCACTCAACAGAAGCTGACTTTTCCAATTGAAAGCAGACATAAGTTTATCGACCAACTAAATTCTCACAAGTCATAACTAATCTGATCTTATGTTTACAAAAACAAAGATCTCATAATGAGAACAAATACTTTAAACTACTAGTTTTGAATATAGAGAATCATGTTTTCAAATTCAATCAATTTGCGATATATGGTGAGAAGGAGCAAATGGGTTCGGTTTTACGGAGCCTGGTCTGAGAACACGGGAGCGATTAAAAAAACCAAATGGTGGCTATAAGAATTCTTTTCGATTGATTGTGGTCGAATTTTTGGGTAGTACTACATTGTCCATCAATATGCAGTCGATAATTTGAAAGTAAAACACATCTGTACAACAATAACATGGAAACTTACATTGATTTGACGAACTTGGGCTTGGTGTATTATCTACACAATAATAATTTTTAAATTCAATGGTAAGAAATGATGATGCATCAGGTAGATTATGTAACAATTTATCTGATCCAATGAAAAGATTTTTATCAATTGGAATTTCAGCTTTTATACGTGCACTGTTGTTATTGTCGAAAAATGTTTTATTGGTTTGCGAAGATTTTGAAAACAATGTAGATGGATCACCCGGCTTCAACACGGAATTCGGATAAGATACACATGATACAGTGATGTCAACTAATCGTAGAATACCAACACTTTGTAAAATTGATGTATTCACTGTCTGCAAGAAACCACAATCCAATATAACAAATTGATTATCAGTAGAAACAGTTGAAGAATTTGTACTGAATACTTTACGACCACCATAGGTAAAATGAATAGGATTAATACCTTTTAACCAATTATCACGTGCACTGTGGAATTCTCGACAACCAGGCCAAGGTAGTTCTGGTGACACTTTAAGGCATAAAAGAAAGACAATTCTGAAAAAATATTTGGAAATAAGCTAGATTGCAATAGGATACCTATCCGTGAATTCGTAACACATCTGCTTCTCAATGTATTCAATATCTACCGATTTACCGTCCATTTAGTGAGTGAATGCAGGAATTAAGAGAATAATTTTCATAGGACAATTAATTTCAAGCTCCAACTTTCGTTTTATTCGCTTTTTTCATCCGGCAAGTTGGGATGCACTACAGTGTCCTGTTCATAAAAAGCATATGCAGATAGATTAGATGATTGACATTTAATCCCCGGTTACATTTCTTACTTTTAAACCGCAGCAGTGATCCACAAAATGAATGTAGAAGTGCTTTAAAATGTTAAACTTCGTACTTTTATTGAATACTGAAAAAAGTATAGTTATTATCACATACTAGATTTTGGATAAGGAAGGAAATGGTTAAATACAGTAGTTAACAATTGAAATGTTTGCTACTTAATTAGTCAAGTTAATAACTAGTTCAGTTAGTTGAAATATCTTATAGTTCAGTAAACAATTTCCAATAACCTTCATTTTATCTTCCGATTAATACGTGATTATTTTATGACAGTGACCATACACAGAGCCGAGTTATGATTGGATCAGCCAGTGTTAAAAGTTGAAAAGCATGGAGACGGATTTGTATTTAAATACGTAGCCAATATGTCATTCGCAGGGTTGAAAGATTATGCAAGAAGTAAGGTAGTAAATTTATAATTTTGCATATGCATAAACCTCCATTGAAGAAAAATCCACTACGATAAATATAAGACAATTGTTCTACCATTCATGCACCTTATACTGACCAATGTACCATAATAATTATGAATTCATAACCATTGAGTTAGAAGATGGAATTATTGGAGACTATTATTCGGAAAAATATGCTTTGTTTTTAAATATTCTATGGGAATTAAGTTACTTTAAAGTAACTGTTACTGTAATTCAGGTTTGTATACTCTCTATAGTGATACACTTGTGCGTTAGCGCGACAGCTAATCAATTGTTAAGTGAAATTTCAAGTCTAAAATCAAAAGGTTGAAAACCAGCTAAAATTGCGCTGTGCATTGCCTAGTATAAGAGTTGGTTGGAACTTTATAAAATCAGGGCAGTGATAAGAAAATTATTTATAGCTTATAGATGAAAGCTGGTGATATCATAAAACTGATCATCATAAAGTCTGAGATTATTGAGATAAGGGAAGTTGTCGACTTATTCGTACATCTTCATTCTGTGTTATCACTGTCATGACATTATAAAAAACTAGAGGACGTATGCTGATTCGTTATTGATTTTTATATCCGCCTCTTATCACGTGAATCATCCACCAAAGGAAATACGACCTTTCTGATCTTGATCCTATGACAAATCAATGACGTTCAACTAGTATGAGCAGTCTATCGTCCTTATTGGTCCCTTGTCCGCCTAGCCCTTCCAATCGAGTCCAGAACACCAATTACAGCCTCTGTTATGCGAATCATTTATTTCAAGCATACTCGGTTTATATACCTGACAGACAGACCACATCATATCATAACATAGAAATTAATATTTGTACAAGATCAAACCAAATGTGGCTATGAACGTGGGAGACAGTAAGCAAGTAACTGAATATAATTTAGGGACAGTAAATCGTATAGTAATAATAATAATAATTCGTAGGTCAAAATGAAGCTTATAATAAGATGAATATAGATATGCACAATCTAATTACTGAATAGTTAAACAATAAGAATATATATAGAATAATCGTCCATTAATAGGTCCTGAAAGTTACCTATACTTATGTCTTCACTAGGATATAATAGTAACTACTAGAAATTATTAATGGACTGTTATTACCTATATTTTTATTGTATAACTGTTGACTTGTATATAAACCCAGTGTGTTTGAAATACATGATTCATATTGCGTAGGCCGAGATTGGTGTTCTGGACTTAACAGGCGGGGCTAGATAGGAAGAAGGACCAATAAGGATTCTAGTCTGTTCGTACGGGTTTATGTGTCGTTGATCCGGTCGATAAGTCACTTCTCTAATTGGCGGTATCATTACGTTGTATATTAATAGGGCATATGACCACTATATATATATATATATATATATATATATATATATATACGACATGATGATTTTGGTTTTCATAATGTTTACTTTAACATTCGGATGTTGGTAAGTTTGTGTATGTATTATAGAAGTAAAAAGGTCACTTATATTCTGTTATTTAATTTTGTAATGTATAGTGATGCTGTCTAGTTTGTCAAACCTGTGACCTGTCGGTTGAATACTAAATGTATTGACCAACAAGCCTTTGTTTCACACTCTCATCATTACTGCTTGTTGGTACGCCAATGTAGCGTGGTAACAGTTAGATGAACTTTTTATATTTTAAAAAGTTAAGCATCATATAGTTGTAAGTAGATTTTTCCCAGAACATTCAAATCTTTCATATTTATGGTAACATCACCGATTTTTTCTTATTTTACAGATATTCATTCAGTATGAAGTATGAAGCTACAACTGGAATATTATTAAGCCAGATTATAAATTATCCTCTAGCTTTCTCCCAATCTATCTATAAAAACAATGGATTGTTATCATGTTAACTTTATCGAAAACAAGATATAATATTAACCAAACTCAAAAATAGGTAATTCTAAGGCATAGTATAATTTAAAAATTTAAAAAAACGAGGAAAATAAACGTACAGTCTAAATGATATGGATACCAATCTATAGATAATATGGTTAAATTAACCCGCATTGATCCATTCGGTACAATGTTTGGATTGAGTTTAATTTCTAAGAGGAAAGTAAAATGAATGAAAATCCAGCTAATTTTTGATAAATAAAAAAAACTGAACGAACGCTAACAGTTTGAGGTATTACAAATTATGATTATGAAAGAGTAATATAATTAAATTTTATAGAAACTGTAAAAGATGGTTTGTTAAACTCGAGTTATTTGTAACTAAATGACAAAATTAATATTTTAGTGTTAGATGGTTTGTATCAATCCATAGAAAAATCTTAAATATAGGTTTCGTCCTGGTTGGAGCATGTCAGCAAGGCATACATGTAATTTTGATGAGATTGACGCTTCCGTGAGATTTGAAAACTTTGTGACCTAAAGCTCTTGTAAGACATATTACCAATGAGCAATTCAGGTTGTGACTGACTATCTCGTATGGTACTAATATATTTATGCGTTTTTTCGAAAAGTCTCGACTGACATGAAACCTAGATCAAGGGCTTCCTACAGAATACCTTTAACTATATGACATCAAAACAGAGTCCATGTGATATCTCATCAATAAAAATAGAGGTACATATCATTTTGATTTTCAGAATATGATCACCGCTAAGGATCGAACAAACAACATTATTAGGCGAAGATGGATAGTGGTGGAATGCAGGACGAGCGTTTCGTCCTATTTGTGAATCGTCAGCTGGGTATACCTGCATCTCACAGTTGATATTCACTCCAGGACTCCAACCCAACACCGTTCGCTTCAAACGCCATCGTGTTATCTACTCAGCTACTGAGTCCTCATAGCCACTAGCTTGTGCAATGTGGTCAAGTTTAAATTAATTTTGTATTATTTATTTGAATGTTTCGATTGATGTTTATGACTGCGACTGATCAGTCTCTTGTTGGCATATGTGCATCCATCTTTGCTTAAAAAGCTTGTGACTTGAGGTGATACTGAGGACTGATGGAGAAGGTTTGTAGCTCAGAGAACGAAACTCCATCAAAATACTGAGAAAATCCACACAGGACGCACATGTACCAACAAGAGACTGATCAATTGCAGTCCTAAACAACAATAGGAAGATACAAGCAAACAACACCAAGTGAATTTAAACACAACATTAGTTAATAATTAGTAGTCAACTAGGATCGTCATTCACACCTTCAACGCTGTAATTTGTTCCATTATGCTCCCATCAAATACCTGCACATGCATACCAAATAGAAGGAAATGTTGAGACATATCCAAGCTTTCGAATCGCTTAAGATATATCCGGTCAAGTTTATATACGATTGGCTAGTTAGTATTGCAAGACATACTCTTATAAGTTACATATATAAAAGATTACTTTATAGTGTAAACGTCTTTGACTTTTCACCTTTTATATTATAAATATATGGTTTTTGATCTAAGCGGCTGCACTCTGAGTGCTTGGTCTCACATGGTTTAGTCGATATTTTACAAATAAAAACTGAAAAATACCAGATGATTCACCGTGAAGCTTAGAAATAAGATTGTCTTTCTGATACCAACTGATAGGTTTGCATATACAATAACAAATCTCTAGAGGAATTGCATCGATTCTGCTAGGAATACCGCGAAAATTTTGTTGTCTAAGTTTTACAATTCAAATTCCTAATTTTCCACATGAAGACTTTTCCGAAAGCGTCGTCTCGAAATAACTTTCGCTAAATCTATTATTGTGTTATTTCCTTACATGTATTTCAAGGTTATTTATGCACAAGCTGTATATACAAACGAGCCGCTTAACCCTTACATGGAAATAGTACAAAACTTTTTCACAAAATAATAGCCTATCGTTTCGTACCATATTTTTTACTAGGGGTCAAGATCAGTTGAAATTGAGATTCTCAAATACAGTTAATTCAAGTCTCATAACTGCAAAAAATATCAAGGTAAACTCGCGGCGTAGCGTAACACCAGAAATAATCAATAAAAACTAAGGTTTCCAAACAAACAAAACGATAGGAAAAATTCAGAACAAATAAGAATTATCATAATTATACGTCAAATATTTATGGTTATATAAAAAATTAACAAATACCAGTGTATACAATTTTAGATATGCTACCTAACTACCAAAATTCAATATTCAAATACATGGTTGTGCATTCAACTTTCAGCTACACTGTTTGTGAAGAGGACTGCGGCTCTGCCCGACTACCAAAAACAAGGAAAATCAAGTACCACTTAAATCCTTTATAAAACAGGTCACAAGTCAAATTTCTTAACCCAATTCTATACAAGTGGTACACACATCGTGTTTCTACTTAATGACAAGCGGTTAAATGAGTAACTTACAACTAATTTACTAGAAATTAATTTACTAACTTTCTTTAGTTTCATCACAAAAGTGCAATTCTGTCCGATTAACAATCAAATGATAAGATGTTTCCAAAACATCATATTGATGAAACATATTCACAGCATTTGCATAATCCTCTGTGCATTTGATATTTCGCACTTCTACCATGGGGTAAATATTACTATTAGTAGTATAGTTAATATTACTGCCATTATTATTGTTATTGTAACTATTATTCACCAAAGACTGAGTTTCTGATGATGAAACCAAAGTGACGGTTTGTCGCTAAATTAAAAGAAACAAGGAAAAAAGTTCAAAAGCTTAAAGATATTATATATTATAAGAATAAGAACAATTTAGTAGACCAATAAGTTTCTGAATAAAATACCTGTCCTGATTAATAACACTGTGGTGTATGCTACTTATGTCGACACATATAACTAATATGTAACATCAATCACAAGTGGAATGCATGACAGCAGAAAGCTAAGAAGATCGAACTGAAGAAAACAGAAAACGAAATATGAAGTAATTGTGAATTGGAACAGTCAGTCAGCGACAACGTAGAACTTCGTACGTACGTACACCAGTTCAAGATGTCATGCCACAACAACAGAGAGATACAATTGTCGATTCAAATCCCATAGTGGTAGAGGTAGTACAAGTATGAGCGGTAATCGGAAAGATTAGCGTTTGAAGATCTTATTCAAGGAGTATAATCCAGTCAAATAAATTTTGAAAAAATAAAGATAGGGATATGAAGTTTATTTATTATTATTATTTAAATACATAAATATTGGTACAAGGAAGCACCAGATACTTATGAGTCGCACAAATCTCATTTGATTTGTGTGAGGGCCGTAATATTGCCCAGACGCCCAAACTGAAGCACAAGGTTTTCTTAGGGGGCCACACCCAGAGGGACATGAAGAATTCGGATTAGAATTTGGAAGAACACAAAGAGTAGATGCACCTTCACCATTGCAAACGATTTTGAGCCATGTCATTCAAGGTCTCTAACCATCGGTAGCTATCATCTCGCGAATCCCAACCAGGTAGTCTACACCTACCAACATGGCCCAGTCCACTTGTCAGTGACTTCATGGATTTGTGCTACGTTTTGGTCTGGCCGCCCCTAGCTTTCTTCCAACCTAATCCCACACCATAAAACATCGCACGTCGGAGCAGTCGGTGGTTGGGCATACGTAACATGTGTCCCATCCATCTCAACTGGTGAAGTTTCACTACTTCATCAATCGATTTGCCATCCTTACCTAGTACCCGCTTCCTAACAAAACTGCATTACTTACTCGGCGGTCCCAGGATATACGAGCAATGCTTCGAAGACACCTATGATCGAATACTAGTAGCCTACGAATATCCTCTACTCTTACCGGCCATGTTTCACTGCCATAAAGTAGGAGGGAACAAACTGCTGCGCAGTAAAGCCGTCCTTTGGTTGGCAGATGGATATCTCGCCAACGCCATAAATGACGCGAGTTGGCGAAAACTAGTTGGACCTTCTATATCCGTGCTGAGATTTCGTCACACACCAGACCACAAAGACTGATGAGACTCCCAAGATAAGTGAAGCGGTCAACACGCTCAACTACTTCACTCTCTATCATTAGTTCAGGTGCCGATGTAATCCAATCCAGAAGCAACATTATGCATTTCGAAGGGGAGAATCGCATTCCGAACATGCTTGCTTTGTTGCTTATGCTGGTCAGAAGACTCTGCATTTTGTCAGCGTCATCATCAAATAGGACTATGTCATCGGCATATTCTAAGTCAACAAGTGAATCTGCTAGTAAAAGTTCAACTCCTGAAAATTCAGGTGAGGAAAGGGTTATCTCCAAAAGCACGTCAACGACAAAGTTAAACAAAAATGGAGAGAGTGGACAGCCCTGATGAACACCGCTTGCGGTAATCAATTCTGATGACAGTTTGCCATAAGCTCTCACTCGATCAGTTGTGTTCGAGTAGAGAGCCTGTATAAAGTTAATGTACTTCTTTCAGTGACAAACACTGTCATAGAACCTCACGATCAACGGAGTCAAATGCCGCCTTAAGGTCGAGAAATACTACTATTGTGAAACGTCTGAATGTGTGTCTATGTTCTAGGAATTGACGTAGTGTAAATACTTGGTCTGTACAGCCACGTCTAGGTCGAAAACCAGACTGGTTTTCTCTAGTCTGCTCTTTACAAGCTTTAGTTGGGTGTCGAAGGATTATTGAAGCTAATATTTTAAACACTATATTAGTCAAACTGATTCCTCTGTGATTATCACAATAGAACTTTTATTCTTTATTATAAACCGGTACAATCAGAGATTGAAACAACTCAGACGGGATTACGTCCAGTTGGCAGATTCTACCTAAGACCTTATTCAATCTCACTGCTAATACTGGACCACCAACCTTCATGACCTTTACCCATTCGTAAACTTTTTATCATAATAACTTGATTTGAAATCTAATTAAATGACCTTTCTAATCTACAAATAACTCAATTTTGAAGTGTTTATGTAGTAACAGATGCAAATGTTCACCATTTTTAACATATAATATTATTAAATTTATTAATGCATGCCTTATTTTGACCTTTGTAAAATAGATGAATAGAGGATTTTTAAACTGCTAATTATACCTATTTTACATATTTTGTTGCTCATGTTTAATGTGGTACTGTGATATAAAAACAAAAAAAGAAAAACACAATGTCTATCCTCATTACGTTAACATTTGTTTTAATATTTACCAGTTATCTATCGATTACTTAGCAGAAGGTTAATATCATACAATTTGTTCCTTGTATGAATTTGAATAAAGCCAAAACAACAACCGAAGCAAACGGTTAATAGTTACCATTATTGTTATATTTGTGTTGAAATGGATAAATGTGGAGAGAAATAATTTCTCAACTTTAATTGTTGGATGGATTGTTATCTTAATGGTTAAAAAAAACTAAATTTTCAGCTAATAGTTAGTAAGATGCAATACAGTTATAGTTAACTCAGCTTAAATAACCAGATGGTAACATTAAATTGCAGAGAAATAGTTGTATACATAAACTCTGTAAATGATACTTGAGTTTAAATAAAGTAGGAAAGAGATTTTTAGAGGGGATAGAATATTGATAAAGTGTATATAAACCTGAATCAATTGAGGAGACAAAAATAAGTATTAAGCATATCTCATAATCACCCTGACATTCAATGCCGGCTGGTGTAGGAGCATATATATATATATATATATATATATATATATATATATATATATATATATATATATATATATATATATATATATTCAGTATTAGTCCAGTTTAGTAAGTAAACAGATACGAAATTCCATTCATGATAATCCAGTTTACATTTATATAACATGTATTCATAATGTTATATCTCTACAAAACAATTACTGATGGATTGTTCAGTGTTTTTAAATGTTCCAATCCAATAATTATCGCGTGGGACTTGTTTCATTAAGTTGGACGTCAAATTGGGGTTCTGAACATAGGTAATCTTAGATTATTTCAATGAATTTTATCTCATGCTGTTTTGTCCAGTTTTCTCCGTTGTAAACTTCATCTATGCCCATAAGATCACTCACTGTAACTGTTAACCGAATAGCAATCTACCATAGAACCTGGTTTCCTAAACACAGTAATAATAATAAATAATTAAGGCAATCGAAATAAACTGATAGTTAAAAAGTTAATTTTTAAATCCACTGCATTTTACATACTAACCTTAGCTTTCTCTGCTGCGAATCGTTTACTCTGTTCATTAGCTAAACGTATTGAATGTTCTAAAGAACGTGCAAATACAATGGCTGCTTCAACTTGAGATGATGTAAATACCCAAAGTATATCGTCTAGTATAAGACGAATACGAGAACTGATCAGTGACCCATCTACATGGGTAAGGTGAAGGAAGTAGGGAAGAAAAATTAGAACAGAAATACTTAGAATTTGTGCAGTAAGATTTTCTTTAGTCATACACTGAAAAGTAGAAAATATGTCGTTTAATCAATGTACTATCAGAGAATGTGTTTATATTATTTCTTAACGATGTTGACCAAACTCAGCAATAGTTACATTTAACTCAGCACTGTTTCTACAAAATTCTCAAGCTTCAACCATGCGTATAACCACTCGAATAACATGGTTCTTTTTACCTAAAATTAACCACCAAGTAACTTTATCTGAACCCCTCTGAGTTAAACGCAGTCCCAAGCCTGGGTAAAAGAGGGTTGTTAGGGATAGGATTAGAGACCCTCCCTTATAGGAAAGAACCTCCCTAACTAAGATGAATCAATTCATCCATTCAAACTCAGCCATGGAAGTTGAAGGGTCTTCATACAGAAGAGTTATGACGCCTCGTGATGGAAGCCGAGATCCTTCAGAAGCCACGAGGCCGACAATCCCTCTGACAATTACAGCAACAATTGATATCGGTACTTGGGATAGCCGGGCAGTGTGGGAGACCAGGAGGGTCAGCCAAATGGGAGCGGAAGTGGAAGTGGATGAATTTGGAGGATCCTAGTGAAGCAGCCTGACCCAAATTAACGAGATGTCTCAAGATTGAAATACTGACTAACTTGTGTAGTCCCTTTGATAGTCAAGCCGGTTAATATTTAGAGGTACATTTCGATAGTTTGCTTTTTAAGGCCAACATAACCTGCTCCAAAACAGTAATTAGACTGATAGATGTACACTGATTCGTCCTAAAGCGGAAGCTTGTGCTTTATACAACTACGAGTCACAGGCCAACTACAGAAAACAATACAAAATTCAGCAACTAACAACAGCCGAAAAAAGCAGAGAAGGCCAGGCCATGGGCCGAATATGCACAAGCAAAACATGAGCGAAAAAAGCATTACAACTGGCAAGCAGAAATATGTAGGATACCTGGTAACTACAGCATAACAAGATGCGAATGAATGAAATGTAAGAGAACTGTATAATACAACTAAGAGGCCTTCAGGAGAATCCGGTAGACTAGATATTATTCATGAACAAAGGGAGATCGATCAGTGAGGTTCAAGAGTATTGGTGCATGTAGATAGAACAGACCAGCTTCAGTGAACCCACCGAACATCAAAACATAAAACTCAGACCTTCTTAGAAATGTTACCTCACCAACAATCGAATAAATCGACATGACCATCAGACAAATAAAGAATGGCAATACAGCAGGACCAAACTGTTATATCCCGTGGAGAATTATGAATGGTAACTTTGGGGACTATTTATGGACCAATATGATATGTTTATTTGCTACTGAATAATTGTTAAGTCACTTAAGTGTTCATATTAATGTTCCCTTTATTATGAGCTTTATTTTGACCCATAGACTATTATTATACGATTTACCATTCTTGAGTTATCCCTAGTCCATTAATTACTGTTCCCTCTATTCTCAGCCACATTTGGCTAAATTTTGCACAAATGTTATTTTCTATTTTATGGTACTATGTGGTCAGTTTATTTGGTACATGTTGTTTTGGTACATGTAGTTTTGAGTCATACATACAACTTACCTGATCGAGAAAAATTAAAGGAGAGATTTTAGGTAGCAACGCAATAGTAGTAAGACAACTGTTGAGCCACTAAGTTGGGACTTCAGTCAAACGTTTGCAAAATGTCAGCTGAAGAAATTTTCGGTAAACCAAACATACCAAAAAAGCCATGTTTGGTCACATGACGTGATAAGGTTGTTTCTTAAACCAGATAAATGTATGCGGAAGTTGCGAAACCTAACTAAACAATGACTCTAATCAAGGTCACTCCTCGCAGATTCATTATTTAGTTTAGTCTGAATACCTATGAATAAACATTAATATGTTTATTTATTTATTTAAACATATAAATATTGGTGCAAGGGGGCACCAGATATATATGCGCCACACAAAACAATGAAAGTGGGAAGAGAAAGTGGTTAGGTGCACATAAAAAAATAGAAAAAAAGTAATGGTGAGGGGAACTGAAATGTACAACCACAAGAACTCTCTTAGTTAAGAAGGTTTTAACCACTCTTTATGCAGAAAGTAAAAGAAAGTTACAGCAGGCTCGCCACTGGCTTCTATTCTGAGCCATATCTGATAACGTCTCTAGCCACTGTGTTGCACCATCTCTCGGACCCCAGCCAGGGAGTCGTGAAGGACCAACAGAAGCTAGCCCTTTGCAGATTTCTTTTATACCACGACACCATGTCATATACTGACCACCTCTCCGCTTTTTCCAACCAGTCCCAGAGTCGGCAAATAATGCACGACGTGGAATTCTCTGAGACGACATTCGTAAAACATGTCCAAGCCACCGAAGTCGGTGTTTCAAGATGGTGACACCAATTGAATTATCGTCTCTGTGCCCGAACACACGATGCCGAACCTCTGCATTACTAACATGGTGTTGCCACTGGATGTCAGCAATCCTACGGAGACAACGATGATCGAACACAGAGAGTCGTTTAGCATCCTCAACTCGAAGAGGCCAGGTTTCACAAGCATAGAGCAAAACTGCTCTCACCGGCGCGTTGTAGATCCGATCTTTTACAGCCAGACTAGCATCACGAAGGCGCCAAAGGTGGCCTAAATTGGCATAAGCCGCTCCGACTTTCACTATAAGTGCATCGATCTCATCACTCACACCATCACCAGCACTTATGTAGCACCCTAGATACACGAACTTCTCAAATACTTCAATCTGCTCACCATCCAGGATGAGTACAGGAATAGAATCCTGCCAGTCTTGTAGGAGTACTTTGCACTTGGAGGGTGCAAAGCACATACCGTACCTGCGGACACTGATTGCCAACTGATTAAGTGCGGATTGCATGCCTTGGACATAATCGCACAGTAAGACAATATGATCGCACGAAAAAAGTGACAAACACTTTAAAATCCTGTGACTGTTTCTAGTCGTAACAAAAGATTCTTGACAATTTCGCGCGATGAATATTGTATTGTTGAAAATATACATAATAATTAGTGTAGGTTTCTCAGCATTGAAAAAATACTTCAGTGAAGCTAATAACTGATGGTGGTCTACGAAAAGGACCTTCAAATTTAGCATGATTTGTTTTTTTCCACGATTTCATTGGCGAATAATTGCAGCCAATCAACAGGAAAATTTTGTTCGAAACCTTAGACAAATCAAACCTGTTTATTATGACCTAACAAAAACTTTCGACACTGGATAAAAGCTTTTATGAAATTTACTACGTGACCTGATTTTTAGCCTACAAATGTGGATTTAAACAACATGAAATATAATTAACTTGTCAATTTATGCGGAAAGTGTTAACCAATTACGTGATCAGAGGTCAACAAAACACAACAAGAAATGGCAACAAAAAGAGACAGGAAAATATAAAAATAGGTGTAAACGCCACGTTCGGTTTAAAGTCATCAGCATGAACTGACATAACACATGTGCAATGGTCAGGATATTCAAGCGCTAATCATAATGTACAGAGCCAGAACTCCGCATCGCTGAAAATAAGTAAACTTTTACATTACATTACTGATATTTCTGCACATGTCCATCAACCAACTCGCCTTGGAGCCCCTCTGGGGCTACTGCCGGTCCCAAATCCGGCTAAAGGAGGAGGTTTAAGCATGGGGTTAGCGAACCCATCCCATAGAAAACTAACTCGCAAAAAGACGCTAACTAAAAAACATATTCAAACCATTTGAACTCTGCCCTTGGAGTTAGAAGGTCTTCATTTGAAAGAGTTATGACGCCTCATAATGAAAACCGAGTTCCTTCGGAAGTCAAGAGGCTGATACCCCTTCTGACGATCAAAACAACCATTAAGTTAAGTACATAGAATGTTCGTACAATGTGGGAGACCGGGAGAGTCATCCAAATTGCTGAAGAAATAAAAAGATATAACCTAGAGGTGCTTGGAATCAATGGAACACATTGGACGCAGGTTGAACAAAAAAGACTAGCTTCAGGAGAGCTGCTGTTATACTCCGGCCATGAAGAAGAAAATACTCCACATACACAAGGAGTTGTACTGATGCTATCCAAACAAGAACAAAAAGCACTTATAGGACGGAGATTTCATGGTTTCAGGATCATCAAAGTCTCCTTCGAAACAAATAAAGAGGGCATTACAATGAATGTCATTCAATGTTATGTGTCTACCAACGACTACGATGAAGATGTTAAAGATCAATTCTACGATAGGTTGCAGTCAATCGTTGGGAAACGCCCAACAAAGGACTTAGCCATTCTGGTGGGAGACCTAAATGTCAAGGTTGGAATGGACAACACCGGAGAGAAGAACGAAAATGGTGGGAGATTTGCAAACCTATGTGCCTTAAATAAACTGGAAGGCCCAGGACAGAGTGGGTTAGAGAATGCTGGTCGGCGGCTTTTGCTCCACTGAGAGTAACAGGCATAAGTAAAATCTATAACCAAAAAGAAGTAATTAAGCTTACCAGATAACCGCTTTTTCATTGTTAAACGCACACGAGATTGATTTGTTATAAGTTTAACTGGTGTACCATGTAGTTCAGTTAGTAGACCATCAGCCACAATACGTGCCGATTCCCAAGAGACTTCTTTGAACATCAATATCGAATCATATTGTGGTAATGTCAGAGTGCTTAAATTTAACAAACAATTTTGCCAGTTCGGTGATTTACTCAGTACACAAAACCTGGACAACTAAAGGAAACCAATTAAAATAATGATGCAATAAACTATGCGAAGACGGAATAACTTATTGCACAAATGAACAAAATAAAATGTACTGTCCAATTTTGTTGGCTGATACTATCTGAGAAAGGATTCGTTTCTGTTCATATCTACAACCATTCTGGAAGTTAAAATGATTATTTTGTCAGCAATGTTAAGATTATTGAGTGAATAAGTTGAACATCCTCGAAATACATTACTACTGAATGACATGAAGAATTGAAATTATCAGTACCGACCGGTGGATTTTGCTACCCAAATCAGTGATGAAAACAATTGAAGACCGTTTTGCTTATTTGGAACTAAGCTTGTAATAAGTGCATCTAGATCGACTTAATTTAACAAGAATTTGCATGTCAAGAGTGTGAAAAGTCGCTGATTACATATTTTGTTTACAAGTGCATTTACTTCATTTATGAAGCATCAAGTCATAAACAGTAAACCCTGTAATCACATCACAGTTAGATCAGACATTTTACAAACAATCAAATTTTCCCATTCGTTGGGATTTTAGAGGCGCATTTCTTTCAAAAGAACGGACTGTATTATGTTTGAAACTGTGACGGTTCAGGGGTTTATATCTTAAAGACTAAATAGAATACACCTTGTTTTGAATTTGTAAGAAAGATTTTCAATGAGTCTTATAAATTGTGATAAATGGCTTTACTTTTCCCTTCACAAGTCAAACTTTCCTCTTACAAAATCAGAATAATCATTTGCATTCGTTATAATCTACTCTAAATGCCTTGACACTAATGTATAAACCTCACCCGATAAGTATGGCTTATGGTTTAGTCTTGTAATATGCGGTCAGAAGAATGATCAAAAATATCATTCCTTATCAATTTTTACACTTTGAAAAATCTATCTAAAACTTCAGATCGATGAGGCACCAAAAACAACCTTAATACTGTATATATGCTCAATGGCTCAGAAGTATAATCAAACTAACAGGCTGGAAAAGTATATAACTCCTCAAATTGAGGTTCAATCTGTCATTAGTCGGGATAGTATTGATTAAAATAACTTTAAAAAGAATGTCGTTAGAAAATTTGGACTAAAAAAAGGACGAAATGGAGACAAAGTATGGGCGTTTTGTAGAAAAGCTCTTTTTCAAAGTCGAGTTGCAACCATAAAATTGTCATCTCCCGGGTTCGTTAACACTATGAGTAGCAATGTGGTGGGGGTTACTTATATCCACATAAGCAATATATAACGATGGTCAGGCATAGAATGTATTTCAGTAGGAGATCGATAAGGAAAGAACGGGAACGGAACACAATTGGTATGAAAACGCATGAACAATAACATCAGAGACGATGGACTGATATTTGTAGAAGGAACGGTCAAGATTGGGACAATTGATTGATAGTCTGCAAATTAACTGTTTACTGTATGGTTTTCAGATTTTAGTGAAATATTCTGAAATTTTGTGGTCAAATACATTCGATTGCCCCAATTGTGTTCCTGTTCACTACAGTAACAGCTTCATCAGTAAATATATTTAAAAAGGGTTGATGGAAAAAACTATAACTAAACAAATGGTTTGTAATCTTTTCCAAAGTTAGTTTTTTGCATAATTAAATTTACAGCTTATGAAAGAAAAACGCGTGTTTACACTCTCCGTTAATAGTAACCTACTGGATATCTAACTAATTGTAAGTGGTTGTATTTCGCCACTGTTGATATTGTAGACTGAAAACCACTATTCTCTATTAACACAAAGGGTTCGTATGTATATGTCTCAATGATGACTATGCTTAATATATTTCTGCATAGTAGTGTAATCACTGAGGCATACTTCTTTCTGTTAAAAATAAATCAGTTAAATCTATCTGTATTCCAATGTTGATCTTCCCACTGAGATCAAGGCTCAATACCAATTATTCTAAACGCCAGAGAGTTAGTCACTGATTAATAAAACCCGTTGATTAATTTAGCAAGTATGTTGAGTGTATATTATTTGTTTAAATGGAATACATTGGTAGGATGAAGACGTTAAAGATCAATTCTACGATAGGCTCCAGTCGATCGTTAAGAAGTGCCCAACAAAGGACTTAGCCATTCTGATGGGAGACCTAAATGCCAAGGTTGGAATGGACAACACCGGATATGAAAACATCATGGGACGACATGGACTAAGAGAAAAGAACGAAAATGGTGGGAGATTTGCAAACCTATGTGCCTTCAATAAACTGGTCGCAGGTGGCACCATATTCCCACATAAAAGCAAACACAAAACAACATGAATTTCACAGGATCACACTACACAGAACCAAATCGACCATATCTGCACCAACAAACAGTTCAAGAGAACGATGGAAGATGTAAGAACCAAGAGAGGAGCTAATGTAGCATCAGATCATCACTTGCTGGTCGCCAAGATGAAATTGAAACCCAAGAAGCACTGGACAACGGGGTGGACAACATCACAAAAGTTTAATACGGCCTTTCTTCGGGATACTGACAGATTCAACGAATTCAAGATAGCCCACAGCAATAGGTTCCAGGCCTTTCACGATCTACTCAATGGAGAGGGAACTACTATGGAGAACAACTGGAAAGGGATAAAAGAGGCAATCACTTCAACATGTTATGAGGCTCTGGGTCACAAGAAGCACCATCACAAGGAATGGATCACTGCTGATACACTGAATAAAACTCAAGAAAGTATAGCAACTATCCTACAATCGATTTCGAGTATGGTCAATATTGGTTAAACCTTTTTATTAACTTAACAGACAATGTCATTTGAATAGTAACAATTCGTGTATTTCTTTGTAATATTATGACCACTAGAGCACATGACACTAGCCAAAATGTTGATTACTTAAGTATCATTCGATGACTCATACTCTGCCCCCATATATGTATTCACGCAAATCCTAATATCAGCTTTTGTTTTGTTTTGCTGTGCCCCTATTCAATTTGACTATAAATTGCCTACGTAATTGCTTGCACTTGCTGCTCGCTGTTTGCTGATATTTGCCCATGTGTGTGTAACTTTCTGGCCTGAGTCTTTTGACAATAAACTGTAGTTGCGGCTTTCCTTTGCCTTCTGATTTTACGCACCGTTAAGATTAGTATTGTAACGGTTATCAAGGTGAACGAGTAACGAAGCACGGCGCTACAAAAAGAGTAACAAGAAGGCAGAAATCAATATCAGCAGAACAAGAGCAGAGAAAGTCAAGGCACAAGCTGGAATACACAGAACCTACAAATAAATATGTGGAAGATCCAGCAATGACGGCGGAAAAGGCTGCAAGAGAAGGAAACATGAGATAATTGTATGATACAACAAAGAAACTCGCTGAAAATTATCTTAAACCAGAACGACCAGTGAAAAGCAAGGAAGGCAAAGTAATCAACAACACTGAGGAACAACGAAACAGGTGGGTAGAGCACTTCAACTCTTGAATCGACCAGCCCCACTGAACCCACCCAACATCGAAGCAGCACCCACGGACCTCCCAATCGATGTTGGCCCACCAACAATTGAAGAGATCAGCATGGCCATCAAACAAATCAAGAGCGGCAAAGCAACAGGACCAGAACATACCAGCAGAGGCACTGAAAGCACATGTAGCGGCAACTGTAAAGATACTCCACATTCTGTTCAGTAAGATTTGGAATGAAGAACAAGTACCAACAGACTAGAAAGAAGGACACCTGATCAAAATACCAAAGAAAGGCGATCTCAGCAAGTGTGAGAACTACAGGGGCGTCACTCTTCTTTCAATACCAAGAAAAAGTCTTCAACAAAGTGTTGTTAGACAGAATGAGAGACTCCGTAGACGCCCAACTTCGAGACTGACAGGACGGATTCCGTAAGGATCGATCGCGTACTGACCAAATCGCAGCTCTACGGATCATTATGGAACAATCAATTGGATGAAATTCATCACTCTACATCGACTTCATTGACTACGAGAAGGCATTTGGTAGTGTGGACAGGAAAACACTATGGAGGCTTCTTCGACACTAAGGCGTGCCTGAGAAGATAGTTAATATCATACGGAATTCCTTAGATGGATTACACTGCCAAATCGTTCATGGAAGACAACTCACCGACTCATTTGAGGTAAAGACCGGTGTCAGGCAAGGTTGCTTACTCTCACCCTTTCTCTTTCTCTTGGTGATCGACTGGATTATGGAGACGTCAGCACCTGGGGGGAAGCATGGGATACAATGGACAGCTAGGTTGCAGCTGGAGGATCTAGACTTCGCAGATGATCTGGCACTTCTATCACACATGCGAAAACAAATGCAGGAGAAGACAACCAGTGTAGCAGCGGTCTCAGCAGCAGTAGGTCTCAATATACACAAAAGGAAAAGCAAGATTCTCCGATACGATACAACATGCACCAATCGAATCACACTTGACGGAGAAGCTTTGGAGGATGTAAAACCTTTACATTTCTGGGCAGCATCATTGATGAATACGGTGGATCAGATGTAGATGTGAGGGCGAGGATCGGCAAAGCAAGAGCAGCATATTTACAACTGAAGAACACCTGAGACTCAAAACAGCTGTCCGTCAACCAACATCAAGATCAGAATTTTCAATACAAATGTCAAGACAGTTCTACTGTATGGGGCAGAAACCTGGAGAACTACGAAAGCCACCATCCAGAAGATACAGGTGTTTATCAACAGTTGTCTACGTAAAATACTTCGGATCCGTTGGCCAGACACTATCAGCAACAAGCTACTGTGGAAAACAACAAACCAGATTTCAGCGGAGAAAGAAATCAGGAAGAAGCGCTGGAAGTGGATAGAACATACATTGAGGAAAGCACCCAGCTGAGTCGCAAGGCAAGCTCTCACATGGAATCCTCAATGCCAAAGGAGAAGAGCAAGACCAAGGAATACATTATGCCGAGAAATGGAGACAGACATGAGAAGAATGAACAAAATTTGGATAGAACTGGAAAGGAAGGCCCAGGACAGAGTGGGTTGGAGAATGCTGGTCGGCGGCTTATGCTCCACTGGGAGTAACAGGCGTAAGTAAGTAATGTCCCTCAACCGTTTTGGTCAATAGAAGTAAACTAAACTATTGAATAACCAAGATCCCCCACCTAACAAATATTCTACTCTTAGATTTTATGTTCTTTAAGCAGTAATTTAACCTGGTGAAATTAGTTCCATAATCGTGCTATAGACCTTCAAACATACCTCACAGCTAGGAAGTCAAACGCAGCCCCTTATATTCTATACATCATTATAAGGGACTCATAAACTCAACAGTATATGTAGTAGAGATTAGTGAATGACAACTTACACTAAAATTTCGTTCATAAAATATACACATTGGTGAATACAGCTTCCAAAAAAATGAAAGACCATATTGCAGATAGCAAAATAATTAGGGGACATAAATATTTACTTCAGAAATATTTTACGAAATCACAAAAAGAAACTGGAAATGGGATTTTAAAAGTACTGAAAAACCACCTTTTCGTGCATTGGAATACAAATAACGTGAATAACAAAGTAACACAATGCCACTCGGGAGCCAAATACAGGTTAGTGTGCATCAACGAGCAACACTTAAGAAGTAACGGTTAGTAATACAATACACAAAAGTAAGTGGTGTATGTTTTGACCACTCAGCTTGGATAGGAGAAATCGATAGACTAATCATACTATGATGACAATACAAAGCAGATTTACAAATTGAAATCGATTTTCATCATTCTACTCCTAATGTAGATACAGGTTTGTTTACTGAGCTTCGAGTCACACTTCAGTTGTGTAAGAGTTAGTAGTACTGACCAAAAGTGAGGCCAGGCTCGAAAATGCAGCTTAGCGGTTTAAAGTCAAGTGCTTCAACCAACAAACAACTACCCTATAATACCATGGCTATGATATCACTATTTGTTTTTCGCCATATGACCCTGATATGCTATACACCACTATAGTGACGGATATATGTAAAATTACATTTAATTCTTCGTCATTCACACCTATGTATCGATCTATGCCTAAATAACGAGTAGTGTTTTGAGTATACATTTAATCCTACTACTTCGAAACACATAAATGACACATTTCAGTAACATACATAAAACCAATATGGAAAAGTATAATTTGTCAATTACCAATAACATTTATAAGGAAGACATACTTCAACTGAGCCCTGAAAGGCTTGAGCGAAGAACTCAATAAAAACTGAATTCACTTGAATAGTAACTCCATCAATTACTTTATCACTAAACCCATATTTACCAGATCCACCTCTGTGATACAGATAGAAACGTTCATTCAGTTTTTATCAAAAAACAAACCTATAATTAGCTGTAGGCGAATGTGAAGTTGGACGTGGTTCATCCAGAGCTTGCAACTCAATATTTATATGATCAATACTCTTGATCAAGGAGTAATTTTCATGATTATAAAATATGAATGCTTACAATGAGGACAGGATGAGTTTTTAACTTTGTCCAGTGTATCTAAAAAGAATGTTTTATTTGCTATTCGTGACACAAAACGGAGAACTTACTTTAGCTACAACATTTGTACAATGTGCTTTACGTAAAAGTAACCAAGTTGGCAGATCAAGAAGTTCCATTAAAGCATTTTCTTCTAATTCTATTGTTTCCAGCTCCAAAACACCTTTTAATAAACTCATATGAAGTTTATTTGAAGAAAGGTTTTTCGTAAACCTGAAGTTGAATTTTTTGTCAGTAGGTATAAAGAAAGTCATTAAAAAATGAATAATAGAACAAAAACGGATTTGCTTAGTTCAAACACAAACTGACATCAATGGGTAAATATTAATAATCATGAAACTCTGGACCATTATATATTTATCTTCGCTGTTTGTCAACATAAATTTACCGGTCTCAAGAATTCAAACACATCATCATTCAGGGAACCAAGTCAGAATTTCGTGATTCATATTGTCGAACCTCAGTAAATTGGGCATACGGAGCGATTATCATACAATATCACTGACGAGTACAATTTAAGTCTCTCAACTGCAATGATTGGACAGACTGGTAAACTCCTGTTAGTTCTTCGGGATATTTTCGCGAAATAAATAATGTAATATCACTCAACGAATTGGTTTGAAGAATCTGTCTGATTTAGACCTAGTTTTGATCTGAAAACACATAAAAAGCAACCAGCCACAGGAGAGAACGTGAAAGCTGTTTACTTAAAATGTGGCATTAAATAAAGCGATTAGTGCTATCAACACCAAAGCAGAACCTGGGACAAATGAACATCAACCGAGATTGACACACTTTACGTTGGGACATCGGGAACAAATTGACCAGATACATAGTAAGGAATCAAAATAAGGGTGAACTAATTGGTAACAAAAACAATATAGTTCGAGGAATATAAGATATTAAATAATATCGACACCTGAAATTAAGTAGATAGAAAATGGATACATCTACATCACCGGACATATGCTGCAATTATTTCTTGACGCAGTACAGTCCTATGATAATAAAGCAATCTAAAGACCGAGTTTGGAATTTTGAGTCATTCTTTGTACCTAACGTATCCATGTGTTAGAATACCAAGATGCAACTAAGTAGCTCTCCAAGATTAATCGGTTGCCAATGGTATTTCGGATGACAACAATCCTTTACGGAGACTACTTTCAAAATGAGGAACTACGATTTAACGCAGTCAGTGGAACAATTGATTATATCTACATTACTATCTAATAGTCACAGATTCGAAACAAGCAAATTTCACTCGAGATAACTAGGTTTGAAATCCTTAATTACTGGCAAAAGCATAGACCACTGAATGTCTGCACACACAACACCACATACAGAAATATCTACTAAAACCCTTTTAGTGAGATGTTTATGGGAAACACCTAAACATTGTGAGTTACAACATGAGACATCCATATTACTAGTATGTCATCTAAAAAGTGTGGAGAACAACAGGCTTTCTGTCTTTTACCTGAAAAACATTGCGAATTGCTCGATGAAGACCTTGACCGAATTCATTCGAAATTCACCGAAAATGAACAAGCTGCAGTCTATTTCTGAGTGTCCATAACATCCCCCATCTACTTTTCTTAATTTACTTTAGATTTGGTATTTAGAACTATGACTGAATGATTCGCTACATTTTAAGGATTTTATATGATAAAGACCAATGATTAAGGTTATCGATCAGTAAGATGTGATCACCAATTGACTAGAATTTGGTAATGTTTTGAAAAACATTATGTTATTTATTACTTAGGCATGATATTCTACCATATTTTGATAGTATAATCATGTACTTCGCCCAATTTTGAGATGAGTTCATCAAAAAAGTTCATTTTACGCAGTGATTATCTGACTATAATTATTGTCAATAAGAAACTCAGTAAAATATGCTATATATTAGTACTATACGCACGTCTTCCCAGATCGGTTTGTCTTCTTACCACTTGAAAGAGGAAACGATAATATTGGATACATACTTTTGAAACCAAATTGCATCTTTCAATGATTGCCTTGATTCGTTACTTTTGCTACAGCGTTGATATTTTAGAACCGGGCAGCCAAGTACAATTTACAACACTGAACGTTTACGCCAAAATGACATTTGAAGTCTCTAGTTTATCGATAAAAGTGTTACAAGTGGTGTAATGATCATTTTAACTACGATCCAACTACTTCTATTGCTTAGTATTCTTCGGACACTTTACTTCACTCGACAAGTCCCCAAATCAGAACATGGTTAAACAGGAATGTAATTACATTTCAAATAAACAAGGGTGAACGGAAGTAGAAAACACAATAATAAGAGCGTTAGTATGTGAACAGTTTTACACAAGGAGATTCTAGAGTCTTCTCCAAATATCCGCTAGCTCTGGTTAAGAAATGGCTGATCAATGTGCTCCAACACAATCCCGCACGGAACATGCTTTAATCCGATCCAAATCCCGCTAACGAATAGATTCCCGCATAATTTGTTTATGAAGTTATTATAAAGATAAGTTCAATACGGTTTGTGAGAAGAATGATCAGCTCCGAACATGTAAAGATTTTGGTTGTTAAGCTTTTAGCATTTCAAAAGATATGGAACAATGGTATGGCGGTAAGAAAAAGATTTCCGAAAGCCTATATGTATACCTAATTATGTTAAATAAAAACGAATTTTTAGCAACTGAGAGTTGGTGCTATAGGAAAAATACTGGGAGAAATGAACACATGTGTAAGAGATTTACTGTTAACTTTTAATACAGGTGAAATAATTTTTAATATATCAAACTGAGTATATTGCAACGAATTTCGCTCTTTACTACTTAACAACTATTCAACATGATCTTTTAAACTTAAAGAAATACTCTGAGTAAACTCATAGTTTGTGATCAAAAATATTATCAAAGCATTACCTGGGCAAGATGAAACCAAAGTAATCGGGATGTGAGATTAAGAACTTAATCAACTGAAAAGGCCATGGTACATATTACACATTTCTACTCATCCATTACCCCAATATGCTACACTAGTAAGCACAAAATCTGGTTGAATAAATATTGGGAGAGCCATACAACAGTGTAATATCAGTATAAGAGGCTGCTAAATCTTGACTAAAGTCATCGGTAAGTTCAGGGGTTCTTGTAGGGAAGGTATGGAAGATAGTAGCATTCTGTTTTGAAAGGCTAAGTGATAAGGATTAAAAACAATTACGTAAACTAAAGAACTAGGTAGAGATATTTTAATTTGATTAACTGAACTTATATCGCGACAGTATGAGGAAGTAAGCAAGTAGAAAATTCGACGAGACTATAATTTATGGACGAACCAATCAGATTTACGACAACAGATCTTAAAGTTTGGAGTGAAATTAATTCACTTATTTGGCTGAATAGAGTTTTGGCATTATATCTGATGTTAGTTCGTGATGTAAACCCTAAATCTAATTCCTAACCCTAACTGTCAACTGTAAATATTGATCTTAATTCCTCACACTGGTTTATGGCCCTCATTTAACCGTAGTATGTGGGTGGACATTCTCAAGGTCTTTTTAGCGTCGCTCAAAGGTCGTCCATAAATTATAGTTTTACCGAAAGTTCTGAGAAGCAGTAGTAGTAATATAGTCAGTGGTAAAAAAAGCCATAAACAGGTGAAGAAATATTTGAAAAACAGATAAAATCTGGAGATATGAAGTTTGTAGCATTTATGCTTGAACTTCAGAAAAGAACGAAGTATAAACGTGACTGCATTATTCCACTCTCTTATAAATGAGACATCAGAGAAAAAACTTTTAGAATCCGAATCCACCGGAAAACAACATATCTTTTTCTTGAGATACTATTCTTGAGATCCACAAGAAGAACCGTATCCCCAATTAGATGTTGCGATGAATGTGCAGAACATAGCCATTTAAAGAAAATATGGTTTCGAGTTGGAAAACAAGGGTCATTGCATAGCAAAACATATAAGGGTTAGAGTCACAAAGGCATTATATTTGATTCAGTATGTCGGATAGGGGAGCTAAAACGAAAAGATACTCACTGAATGCACCATGTAAACTGGTTCTATTGGTTTGACCATAAGAAACTAAGACATAAGCTGAAGTTTAACTTACTGCTAAACTTCACACACACGGGTAATGCAAACACAAGAACACAACTTCAATCTACGTTAAAGTGGAAACATTCACTTAAAATTTCACATGAAAAGAACGATAATAAAACAACGAAACCTATACAGGAAAACGCGTGTGCAAATTCCATTGAAAAGGTCATGCATTTCTAAGGTTAATTATACATCCATGTGGATATCAGATTATCATATTATGATCAACAGGTGGTGGCAGAGAAACCGAAGTGAGTATTAGATAAACACAGTGTTTTAACAAAAATACGAGTAATTACTTAAGAAACGGTTTCAAAATCTTGCCCTTTAGAACCGATGACATCATGAAAAATAGTGTAACGCCTATTCCAATCAAGCCGCCTTTCTTGACCAACAAATGGTTCAAATGTTTCAAATGGTTGTGGACGGAATAGAAGAAGTTTTCGCTTAATGAGCTTCCGTGTTCAGTAGCAGTGAATCACCAGTACCTCCAGGCAAGAACTTAAAGTATATTTGATAGTAGAGAAAAAAAGAAAAACGACACGCGCGTTTCAAAAAGGGCAGTGATTTTCGTACTTGTTGTGATTATCGTTGCCTTTGTGTATTTGTTGCATCAAAAAGCATTCTTGGTCTATTTTAACTCGACTTATTTCAGTTAAGGTTTGAAATTTTGTTGAAAACGTTGTCTCGTGGTTCCTTCTTTTGCATATACTCTGGCACTTGTGTTGTTATTGTGATCATATTGTGTTTTAACCCTAATCTGATTACAATGGTTGGCAGTGCATTCAAACGTGGACAGCCGAACTGTTTATTCCCCGTAGATGAAGGCATGAAGTGTGATGAATGCAAAAAGTGGTTCCACAAGATGTGTACCCGTCTTAGTCCAGCTGCATACAATAGATGTTCTAAGCTGAATTCGCACTTGCCTTGTATGTTCCGCTGTACTAAGAAGACGATATTAATCCAAGAGACTATGAGCCTATTGGCTCTAGCCTGTAAAAAGAACGATAGTGGGTGCGCTAGTAACGCAAGTACTGACAGTGAAGACTGTGTTAGTATTGCAAGTACTGTTACAAAACGCGCTAAACAACCTACTGTAATTAATGACAAAGTGAAACTTCCGTTACAACAAACGGGCAGTAAATCACCACCTGATATCGTGCATCTTCAGTAGAAAAAATTGAGGACCCGGATAAAACCGACACCGTCCCCAATAGTCATGATGCAGCTGTCCTGAATGAAGAAAAATGGACCGCAGTAAGGGGAAAAGAAAAGAAAAAAAAGCTGAAGATAAAACACATTTAGTTGACAAGTCATTGAGGAACTCACAGTCTGAGTCACTCAATGCACTATCGCACTCTGATAGAACGGCAGAACATCATCCTAGTGTGACTGAGAGGAACTTAATATCATCGGATATTATTGTGAGTAAACTGCCAGAGTCTAACGATCCAGATCCTAAGGTTAGACACACCTATGACTTAGAGAGGCTCGAAAAACATATCCGTAGCATATTACCAGATAGCACTAAAGGTGTTCATGTCAAAAAATTGGTTAGAATAGGTAAATGGGCCGATGACAGTGTTCTACCCCGACCATGTAGACTCCTTAAGGTAATCCCATGGTCGGAGAAACAACGTGATCTGTTAAGTAACTCTCGAAGTCACGACAACTCTGACATTCGAATTAGACCGGATATATCTCTTGAAGATAGAGTAAAAACGACGGCACTTGCTGAACTAGAAACCCGTCGACAAAACGGTGAAGAAAATCTTCGATTAGTGGGTTTTCGAATAGTCAGGTCTTGGAAATGAATGCTACCAAGGTCTGTGTGTATAGGTCGTTCTCCCTAGTAGTTTTATGTGCCAACACCCGTAGTCTAAGACATAAATTCTATGACCTACGAGCACTAGTGGAAAAATTAAGGCCACTCATTGTAGCTGTGACGGAAACTTGGTTAGTCCATGACTTCGATAATACCCCAGAATTATCCGGACACCATTGTTTAAGAAATGATAGACATAGATGCAGCAAAGGAGGTGACGTCCTTCTATACATAGCCAATAATATAATTATCCGCTCCTCCGTTTGCGAATCCCATGATAGTGGAACTAGTGAAGTCATTAGCTGTGAGCTCACTATCGGATGTCGTAAATTTGTACTCGGTGTCATCTATCGCAGTCCAGTCTTCTTAGTTGATGACTTTATTTTAGAGCACATCCGGCTATGGAGTGCAAATAACGGATGAAAATGACAGTGAAAATCCCTCCATGCATACATTTGCGATTTCTTCCTTGTGGTTTCTTTATTTGTATATATTGTTAACTTTTTTGATGCTAATTAAGTCTGCAACGTTTAATTTTCTAGGTTTCACTATCGTATTTATTGAGTCTCTATGTCCCTTACTGAACTGTATTTAGTTTGTTTTAATTGCTATTATTCTGGCGGCTGCCATATTGACTGCTTGCTCTTTGATTGTGCAGTTTGATTTTGACTGGGATCGTGCATTTTTGGTTGTAATTTGGAGCACTTTCCCAGATATTGAAACACTTTGTGTTGTAAAACAGCCGCTCAAACGGAATCTTACTTGATCTATCCAGAAAGGATAAAATAACACTCACCTTTTGGTGTTTTCGATAATTTTCATATATTTCTTACCACTTTGCTATTCATTGTAATTTAGATTGAACATTTTGGTATCAATTGTCGGTTGGATAACTGAGTGGTAATATTTGTTTAGGTAAATTTGTATATATGATAAAATTTAGAACCGTTATTACCCCCAAAACACCTTGTTCTAATTTCTATTAGGGGGGGTGCGCGTCTCTTATTTTACTCGTCAGTTGTTCAACAAATCAAACCTAGTTGGAAACTAGGTTTGGATCTTACAACCGTTTATCCCATGGTCAGCACATAAGCTATCACATCGCCCTCCATCGATTAATAAGGAAACCCGGAAGCTGTTGAAGCGTAGGAAACACTTCTGGGACTTATTCTTGTCATCAGGTCAAGCATCATTTAAGTGCGAATACAAAAAACCGGAATATATGTAAAAAGACCATTGCTAAACCCCGTACCGCTTACGAACGACATTTAGCATACGATAGCCGTACCTTTCCGAAGCGACTGTTTTCGAACGTTAAAAGGCGGACAAAACGTAGTGATGCTATCCCCCCATTACTGTTAAACGAAAATTCAGATTTATTGGCTGAATCTGATCTAGCGAAAGCTGAGACATTTGCAAACTATTTCAGTGAAGTCTACTCTACATGTAGTGTTACAACTACTTGTCCCATTGACAACGAGATACCAGCCATAGGACCTATACATGTGACCGAGGATATTGTCCTTACATTGATAAATAACCTCAAACCTTGTAAGATACCGGGCCCCGATGGGTTACATCAACGTTTGTTGTCATCGCTAGCAGACATTATCTCAAGACCGCTCACGACGCTCTTCAACATGTCCCTTTCACTACTTAGAGACTGGAAAGACGCCAAGGGGAATCCTATATTTAAGGATAGTCAGAGACGAAGCGTATCTAAATACCGGCCTGTCAGCCTGACCAGCATAGTAGTTAAGTTACTCGAAAAGTTAATTCGGGCTAGGCTACTGAGTCACATAGATTTGTACGATCTCTTAACTCCCGAGCAACATGGGTTTCGTAACAAACGTTCATGCTTAACTAACTTACTTATTGCGAGAGAGGATTGGACAAACGCCCTAGACAACAGCCTGTCTGTCGACGGGATATTCATAGATTTTAGCAAAGCGTTTGACAAGGTTTCACACTTAGGTCTTATGCAGAAGATCTCGAGCTTTGGAATAACAGGTGCCATACAGGAATGGATAGGAAGCTTCTTATGTGACTGCAGACAGAGAGTGAGGGTCAATGGAACGCTGATGGTATTAAAATCTGGAGAACAATAAGAAGTGAGACTGGTGGTTTTCAGCCCCAAGATAACTCAGACGAATTAGTTAGATAGGCTCATGATTGGGGCTTGGAAGTTAATTCCGGGAAGAGCATGCTCATGAACATCGTGCATGATGTTAGTTACCACTATACCATTAATGGTACATCTCTTCCACGCGTTCAAGAGCATAAAGACTTAGGAGTAACTATAAGTCATGACTTGAAAACTACTACGCACTGCAATGCAGCTGATCCGAAGGTTATCATGAGCTACGGTCACTTCGCCGAGTATTTAAAAGCCTTGACGAGGAGATGCTTCGAATTTTATATCCCACCTATGTAAGGCCACACTGAGAATACTGTATCCAAGCAGCTAGCTCATGTCCGATGAAGGATACTAAATCACTTGAGCGTACCCAGCGTGTAGGGACAAAATTAGTGATGGATCTTTCTACACTCCCTTACGATGAGCGTTTGAAACGTCTAAACCTTTTCCCCTTATCGTAGGACACGAGGTGACCTTGTGTTGGCATTTCGTATCTTTAATTATGATTTAGGTGTTGATATGTCTTATCTTTTTGCTCCCTCCAGCACTTACAATCTCCGATGTCATAGCAAGAAGGTTCAAAAGCCGCGATCTAATAAACTAAAGGTGGGGTCCCGTTTTTCTCATCGAGTGTTCAACGACTTGAACGCATTACCAGAACAAGTGGTATCAGCACCATCAGTGAACATTTTCAAGAAGAAGCTGGACCTTCACTGGAAGGCGATCTGTCAGGACTAACACAGGTTCATCAACCTACTATCCTTATCACTGAAGACTGACTTAAGACTGGTAAATCATAGTAATATGTTACCCACAATCCTTAAGAATAGGTCACGTTTCCTCTTAAAGGACTCCTGGGAAGTCGCTTGGACTAGCTCAATCGGCAGCGAATTCCAGTATTTGACAACTCTTACGGAGTATAAGTTGTGTCTACAGTCTGTTCGGCTATGTTGGGTCTCCAGTTTCTGGGTGTTACCCCTTAGGTTAGTTTTGTGGCTAAGCTGAAGTAGATGTTTAAGGGGATGACCAGAAGTGTTAAGGATACTGTAAGTCATAAGAAGTTCACCTCTATGACGCCTGTACTGTAACGGGTAAAGTTCAAGTGATTGGAGGCGCTCTTCATAAGGATTGAATCTGAGTCCCCGAACTGATTTCGTGGCTCGACGTTGGATACGTTCCAGAATGTCCTTATCCTTTCGGAGGGAGGGAGGGAGGAAATACTATGTTTTCGTACTCTGAATAGGGACGAATAAAATTGTTAAAGATTATGTAGAAGGTTCTACCGTCAAACTGGCCAGAAATGTGCTTTAATGTTGCCAGTGCAAAGTTTGCTTGAAATGTTTTTTTGTCACAGTTAGCGTACGATTTCAAGTCGTAGGGTACC